TTAAAGCCAACAGCAAGTGGGACTTATATATATGTATATATGTGCACATCTGCATCTATATATATATGTATATGTATATAGTTATATCTCAATCCAGCAACGGGTTGACATTGGGACAAATAATAACTGTCGCCCATCGTGATTGAGTGGATTTATGTTTAAGTTTTTGGCACAAGTGCAATGCGACTGTGCCTTTGATTTATTAGTAGAGACAGACAGATAGAGATGCATATATAAAATGTGAGCGAGACAGCCAGAGAGAGAGAGGGAAAGAGCAGGCAGAGAGTTTCTTTAGAGAGCGGACGCTGCTTAAATGAATTATATGGCGCTCATGTCGGCGACATCATAAATCAAAAACGAGTCCATTTGTGTTTGGTCTGATTTTGTTTTGGTTCTCTCAGACTTGAGGCGCTTTTGGCACGTGACTGACTCGACTGGACTGGAGACCAACTCAGCCAGCTGAGTGACGAGAGCAGAAAGAATCCCTCGATCTTAATGGAATGTTAGTCATATATGACTTGGCGTGAAAGCTTTATGTATGGCTTGAAGTGCGGCAAGGGATGGCCATAAATAAGGCTTAGCTTATGAATTTAGTGTGAGAAATAAGTGAAAAGTAAGAAATTGAAAGAAATTAGTGTTGGCAAACGTCGTATGAACCAACAGCAATGTGAATACATATTGGAGTAGTTATAAGGCCTTGGCTTAAAAGCTCTTATGAATAATGCATTTACTAGAGTTTGGTCATCCTAATTATAGCTTATTAGGGTTACCAGCTTATTGCCTTTTGCATTGTTTGCTGGCTAAAGTAAAGCTGACTACGTCTATCTTAACCTACTTTTCGAATAGTTTACTCATTTATGAGGTTAATATGCAAGCACCTCCTAACTCTTTGTAACCCACACACACACACATACGTACACACGCATATGTGTGAGTCGTTAAACATGTTCGTTTAAATGCCTTTACCTTTATTACAGTCGAGAGTCTTTGGACTGTTTGCAGTTGCGTGATTGGCATCCGTTTGCTATATCATCAGCATTATCATTATCGTCATTATCAACGTGATTATTAACATTGTTATGTGTGTGAGTGTGTCTGTGTGTGTGTGTCTCTGTGGATGGAGGCAATCAAAATGTTTAGCTTATGCCATTAAATTGTATTTTTATCATTATTGCTGCGATTGTCTTTCGTTTCGCTCACTCACTCGCACTGTCGCTGCAGCCGTCTCTTTCTCTTTCACTCTGTCGTTTAATGTTTGCGCAATATGGCTGACTAAACAAACGAAAGTCACATAAATAATGGCAAAAGGTTAATGTTAACTAAAACTATGAGCAACAACAACAATGCACATAAATAACAATATAAATTACTACAACTATGCACTTAGACATGAACCCAAAGCAGCTGGAGTAGCCAGAGCAGCCGCAGCAGCAGCAGCAGCAGAAGAAGAAGAAGAAGAAAACGGCAATGAGTAAGAGGAAGAGTGTAATAAAGTGAGGGAAACGCAAAATTAACTAAAAGTCTGCACACGTGTTCGCCAGCGGAAGAGAAGGTAGAGAATCAGACATATACATACATACACATACACATACATATATGTATATATTTCCTAATGCCAAAGATAAATTTAACAAAGCGACTGCCAAAAAAAAAAAAAAAATAGAGAGAGAGTAGTAATTGTTACTGTTGTTGTTATTGCTGTTGCCATTGTTATTGTTTTTGTTTCTCTCGATGTTGTGCCTTGAAATATTTTGCAAATGACGCAATTTTGCAAATAACAAAAAAGAAAAGAAACTTAATTTTTTATTTGTATTTCTTTTTTTTTTCTTTTTTAATAAAACGGCAGCCAGCTCGACGCTCGCCCATTTTGGGACTGACATGCATACATAGGCATACACAAATACATATAAGGCATGGAGTGTGCGTATATGTGTGTGCGTGTGTGTGTGTCTGTTTCTTTTATGACTTTTGCTCTTGTTGCTGTGCGCATTAAATTATGCGAACGATATAATTTCATTATCAGACAGCAAAAAAGTTCATTGGCATACGGGGCGTATGAGCACATTACACACACACACAAATATACAGAGTAGAATGAGAGAGAGAGAGTCAGAGTCGTACACACATGCAAATAGTCATCAGACTTGAGACAGTATACGAAAATGTTTCAGCTGAATTTATTATTTAATTACGAGACAAGCGACAAGAGCCCAAAATTATTGTATCTACATAGAGAGAGACAGAGCTAAAGAGAGAGAGTGAGAGAGAGAGCCAGGCCGGAGCTGTAGAGAAAGAGAGAGAGAGGGAGCGAGAGTATGAGAAGTAGTTATGCTTAAGTGTACAGAGACACACGCACACACACATACACACACATATATATATACATATATAGCCTAAGTGTGCGTCTGTAAGTACTTACGCTGGCAGAAAAGATAACAAAAGCTGTGCAAAAGAAATGAACTCGCACTTGAACTCACTCTCATCTCAGCTCGTTTCGTCTCGTCTCGTCCCGTTTCGTCTCAGTTCTTTGCATCTTTTCATATGCTGCTCGGTGTCCCTTTCCACTTGTATCAAATATTTTATCAGCATTCGCAATATTTGTTTTGTTACATTCGCGCTTCAATGCTTCTCACTGTGAGAAATTGTCAAAAAAAAAAAGAAGAGAAGGGGAAGGAGAAGGAGAAGAGGGAAAAGCAAATAAACGCAAGAGGATATTATATAAAAAGCGTGTAGGCGACAGCTTGCTGCAGAGTTGCCTTCTTACCAAGTACAATTCTGTTGCTGCTGCTGCTGCTGGCCCCTCCCCCTGCAGCTGCGCCCTCTCCATGCCACACTTCTGCCCTTTTGGTATTTCGCCTGCTGATAAAGCAAATTTCAGCTGTTTGCCGTCTCTGTCTGCATCACACTTCAAATGCCAGTTGAGCACTTGAAGCACAGCAAACCAAATCACGCACCATCAGCAGTGGCAACAACAACAACAACAATAACAACAACAACAACAAGCACATTGCCAATTGTCAATCAAATTCTCACACATGCTTCAAAAGCTAAGCAAGTCGAGCTAGACAAGCAGACAAACAAACAGACAGTTCATTTTATTTAACTATATGTATGTAAGCGATGAGTGAAAAATCGTTCTATGCAATTTTCATGAATTCAAGTGGCGCTTACATATTATTTATATCATTATGATATGCTGAAAACTCTTTCTGTAATGCTGTCACTCTTTCCCTCTCGCTGTCTGTTGTATACTTGAGGCATACTTCATTATTTATAGCTATATTTATATATGCATATATAGCTATACCCTTTGTTGCAGTTGCTTGAAGTGATATGTCTATGGATATCGAATAGGAAACTTCTAAAAATATTTCCTTCTTTACCTGAGTAAATTCTGCCTTCTTCTGTATTTATCTTTCCGTCTGTATATAGCTATCTCTCTCGGTAAATTCTACATTTTTCCTTTTTTTTCTAACTCTGTCTAGCTCACAGCAAATTCTGTTTCTCTCACTCGTATCTCCCTCTCCATCTATCTCTCTCCTTCTGTCACTCTATCTCACTCTTTCTCTATCTCTATCTCTCTGTTTCTCAGTTTCCCTCCATCCTTCTCAGTCCCTCCCTAGAGTATCTCTCAGTCTAGTTTGTATTTTAGAATTAATTGCTCTGCATATAATGGGCGTTAACACGTTACGCCCCCCCAAATTAATATTGTTGGTAATTAAAAAAAAAAAAAGAGCAACAGCTACAGTAAAAATATTATAAAAATAAGCCCGAAAATGAATTTAATTAATTTTAATTTAGTCGAGTTGTGTTTTCATTTTGTGGTTGATTTTTATTAATATTAAAATATCAAACTGTGATTTTTCTGTACACATTTAATTTTAATATTTTACCGTTGTTGTTGCTGTTGTTGTTGTTGTTGTTGCTCTTGTGGTATTTAATTGTTTCGCTTATCGCTGCGGTTGCAGCTGCAACATTGGCGACCCAATCGTATGCCACAAAATGTGGCAACTAGCATGACACTAGACATGACATGTGATATGTGCTTTCACAATCAAATGTATTGGGCGTGGCAATCAGGTGTTACCTGCGCCTAAACATTGTTCTACTGTTTCTCTCCTGCAGCTGAACTTGAGTTGATATTTATTTATGGATGAGAAAACTTGCATTTGATGCTGAGCAAGAAAAAGAAAAATATGTTTATACATACGCTGCATTTTTATTTCTGGCAAATTTCCAAAAATAATAATACAAACGAGAAGAAGAAGGCGCGCAGAATAAAAGTGAATCAAGTGGAGCTGCCGAGCCGTGGAGCTGTGGAGCTCTTCGTGTGCGCTTTTGTGTGTTACATACAAATTTTATAGATTTTCAACGCCTGGCGTGCAATGCTGCCAAATATCCTGCAGCGCTATATGAGCACACACACACACATGCATATGCACACATGCACACATGCCAATGCACATGCACATATGCACTTGTACTGTTTTGTGGCATTTTAAGTGAAAAACGCCATCATCATCACAGCTTGGTCCACATGCCTTTCCTTTGCATATCCCACTGTGTATCCTTTGCCAACTGTACCTCAACTGCACCTAAATGTGCATGCTTGTGTTTTGCATTGTATGTGCATGTGCATGTGTGTGTGTGTGTGAGTGTGTGTGTATAGCATTGACTCAAGCTGAGCCATTCAATAACTTCGTATGGCTGACTGGAATTTCAATAAAAATACTTTATCTCTGATACACACACACACACACACATACACACATCAACAGACAGACAAAGTTGTGAAACAGACATTGGAAATATCGCTTAATATTATCGGGAACAGGCTGCAAGGGGCAAGGCAGGGGATTGGCATGCATTGTGTGTGCATATTTTGTGGACAGCTTGTTGTCAATCTAACTATAATAATGTGCACTCGAAATTCACATTTTATACTCAACTCATATTCTCTCTCTCTCTTTCTTTATGCGTTCTCTTTCTGGTTTCTTTAGTACGGCCAGCGTGTGCCAACTGCAGCCTCACCGAGCAACACGAACTCGAGCAGCTCATCAAACACGGGCTCCCAGAGCGGCACACTGAGCACCAGTCTGAGCAACACGACAAACACAAACACCACAATGGGTCCCAACGGCACGGCACAGAATCAAAATCAACAGGGCGGCGAGCAGTTGTCAAAGACAAACCTCTACATACGCGGACTGCAGCAGGGCACAACCGATAAGGATCTGATCAACATGTGTGCACAGTGAGTATCGCTTATAATGTATAATGAAATATGTAAATAAAGAAATATGTATAAAGATAGCCAGACAGAAGGCGAAGAAAAGTAGATATAGCTAAAGTCTCATTACAAACAGGAAAATTTAAATTCACTTTAGACAGCAAATGACTTGAGATCAGGCGTCTTGGCTGCCAACTGTTCGGTGTGAATCATAATAAATGCTATATTTATGTCCTGTAAATCGAACGCATTTCCAAACGAGTAGCTCGAACAGATATAATTATTTTGATTGAAAGCAGCTCCGCCTCGCTTGTTAGGCTTAAATCAAAGCGAGCGTCGCATACATGAAATATAGATAATTCAAGCTAAACTCTGGTCGTATCGATTCTATTGAAACTATGCCTGGCCCAGTAACCCCTAGCTCGAGTGAGAGAGAGAGAGAGAGAGAGAGAGACATGTACATATATCAGAATTGTGTTGCGGACATGGCCGAAAGCTTAAACTCAATTCATGCCTCATTCCAGCTGCTAATGAGCAGCTTAGCCTCAGCTCATTCCGCTTCGTTGAGTTTCTACAAAGGCCACATACACACACACACATATATATATCCAAATAGACCCCTCACTATCCAGTCAGAGGGCAAGCAACCCCCAAAAATTATACATATATATATTTTGTATGCCTCAGCCCCCACGCCTCGGTCGAGCTGGCCGTCTGCCCGCAGACCGCAGGAGACGAGTTTTAGCAAAACTAAACAAAAATCCACTAATTAGAGCACACGCTTCATCACGAATATAAAAACAAATAGCAGAACTGCCACTAGAGGCACTTGCAGATGATTATGATGTGGTATGTTGTGTACATAACGCATACGCAGCGTGGCCCACTCCACGAATCAACAAAAAATATGGTATATATATATATGTATATATACTTGTGAAACTATTAAAGGCCACGCACATAAAAATTAATGAAAATAAAAACATCAAACAAGCTTACACTGTGTAGCAGAAGAGGAAGAGAGAGAGAGAGAGAGAGAGAGAGAGAGAGAGAAAAGCAAGGCAACAAACGGCTGGGTGTTATCGGTAAGTCAAGAAGAGGGCTTACACGAGTTGCGCCTTAGCTGGAGCTGAAGAGATGGGGGAGGGGCTAATAATTACAAGTCAACTTATTAAATTGAAGGTGAATTGGGCTCTTTTTTATAGCCTAGCCTGACTGGACAGGGTGTTGCTGGGCCTAAGCCCACCCTTTATTCTATTCTATTCTATTATTATTTTTTTCACTCTGTTTGCAGCTGCTTGACTGCGAGGCAATCAAAATAAGCGGCTTATTTGCTTGGGCAGCTTTGATGTTATTATAACTGCATACATATATACTATGTATATACATAAAAACATTTATTCAAGTGTGTGTGTGTGTGTGTATCGATGTCTGTAACTATGCTGATATCGATTTAATTTGCCTCTGGTCCAAGCTCAAATGAGCAATTTCGAGCGAAATATAATTCGTTGCCTACTTTTCAGCGCGCGCTATTAATATTGCATTTTAATGACTATTTAATTGCCTTATAGTGCTGGGCTGCTATCCTTTTGGGCCGGCACAGAGAGAAGCGTGTCGTTTGGTTAAAATCAACAATAAAGCAAAAATGAAATAATAGAAAAAGTCAAGCCAGCCAGCCACGCACAGCTTATGACAATCAAACAGACATTAAATATAGTCGACTATATTATGAGTCAAACTTAGAAAGCGAGAGTGAGCGAGAGAGAGAGAGTGAGAGTGAGAGAAGTTTGTGACATGCAAGAGTCTTGTAATTAGTTTTACGTCTACTTTACATATTTATAGCGTACATATGTCCATTTCGCTGACTAATTCACCGGGTCCGCCCGTTTCCCTTCTTTGTTCTCTCCCTTACAGATACGGAACAATAATATCAACCAAGGCTATTTTAGATAAAACAACAAACAAATGTAAAGGTATTTTTTTCTTCACCATTCTCATCATTATTTTATTTATGTGTGTTTTTTGTATATGTATTATTAGTATGTGTTATGTAATCAAAAAAAAAAAAAGAGAAAAAAAAAGTATACAAAATAATCGATGATTTCTTTCAAGGATTTTCTTTTCTCTTTTCTCTTTATTCGTATTTTGTATTTTTATTATAAGTTTATAAATATGCGCAGTACTCAAAAGGTCAAAAGGTTAACAAACAAATACTAGATCTAAATATATCTATATTTTTCCTTTCTCTATCTCTCTCCAACAATTCCTTTGAGTACTAGGCATATTTAGTATTTGGTATAGTTTTTCTTTTTACTTCTACTTACGTATATAGTTTTTCTTTGACATATTTTTGCTCGTTCTCATTAATTGTGTCTGGTATTTTGATGTATTTATTATTCAACCAAAAACTAATCGATTGGCAAATGAATTTGTCGATTTTTCTCTTCTTCGGCTTTCATTTGATTAAGTGAAATTATGATTTTATAATTTCGTCTAATTCTCATTTTGCAATCGAATCATTCATGCATTCACCTATCTACTATTGCACCCCTACTATGCCTCCCCGATATGCCCTCTATATATATCTACTCTATATTACTAATGCTAATGATATTTATATATATATATATTGATAATATCCGCTCCTATAAATATATATATAACGTTTGCCAGCAAGCAACGAGCTGTACAAATAATTATGTGCGTGTGTGTGTGTATATGAAAGGCTTACATTGTTCAGTAATTGGATTTATTTGATATATATTTGTATATATAATTTATATAAATTTGTATATTTTTAATTATTTGTTTAACCATTCCCGTTTGTTGCTCTCTCTTAATACTTTACAGCTAAAATTTGAGAAATTATTAATTTATTTTTACCATTCTTTCTCTTTCTATTTTGCTTTTTCTTTCTCTTTCTCCCTCTCATTTTCTCAAATGATATATTTTGTTTTTGTTTTGTTTGTTTTTCATCACTCTGAAACTTATTTTGCACGTGCGGAAATAATTAAATTTTCGATCCAATTTTTTTCCTTTTCATCTTTTGTAAAACTGTGTGAACTTTCAAATTAAAAATTAATAATAATAATAAAAAAATAAATTAATTAAACGCAATTTAAATACTCTTATTCTACTTATACAAATTATATATATATTTATATATATGTCTTTCAACATGCAATTAAAAAAATTCCACCTCCGCCCCCTGTAAAACAAAATACACAAAACGCAAAAAACAAAAACAAAAACAAAAAATAACAACAACGAAAAACGAAAACAAAACAAAAACAAAATATGTTTCTTACAGGTTACGGCTTCGTCGACTTCGAGCAGCCGGCCTACGCTGAGGGGGCCGTCAAGGGACTGCAGGCGAAGGGCGTGCAAGCTCAGATGGCCAAAGTGGGTATCTGGGTGCTTCATAGGCCGGCCATTGTACGTTTGTTTGCATGCAAGTAATACTCACCCCTCACACCGCAAACTATCCTCCTGTACCCCGACCCAGTCCACACCGAGACACCCCCCTCCCTCGCTCCCCTTAATCCGTAATCCGTGTCTAACCTTGTACTAAAATCCACATTTGACAAGGGCCCAACGTTACCTCCCCACATTACAATTCGTTTACACAGCTGCCTCGAATAGCTTTTGTTTTTAAGTATAATTTTATATTTTATTTGATAAGTTTATGGTATTATTATTATTATTTTTGATTAAGTTTTTATATTACTTTTTAAGTAACGAAACAAAGGAGCTTCTCGTAAACTAAGTCTGAACTTTGCATTTCAATTGGAATACTTTTAAAGTACCATTTCCTCTTTAATCTGCAGCTGCAGCTTAGTTGCTCCCATTTGCATCAGAATATGTGAAATGCCAAATGAGATTCGAGTTTAAATTTGATTTTAAAGTTTTCCTTGCTCGGCCCACCCGGAATTTGCATTGCATTTCAAGGAAACCCACGCACAGCCCTTAAAGGTCAACTGAGGTATTTCATCAGAGCTGCAAATTCATTTTCGGGGTGCTCCCTCCCTCTCTCTCTCTCTCTCTCACTGTGTGTGTTTCGCTGTGTTCTCCTTTCTCGTATCCCTTTTTATTTCATTTCGTTTCGCATTCGCAATTTCAGTTTAGCCACAAAGTCGGTCGCAACTTTCTGTGTGACTCCCACGCAGCGTTTGCGTGGGCTAAATAAATTGCCAGCAATTTCGGTTGTTGTTGCTGTGGAATCTCAATTTAGCTTATTATGATTTAAGTTTTTAGTTTCAACAAAATCTAAGCCCCAACCCAATAAACCCCCTCCATACCCTTAGCCGAAACCCTAGTTTGTAGTGTTGTTAAACTATATATTTCTATATTAAAACAGACTGTATATCGTACTATATATTACCCCAATATACTTGATTCCCACATCCAACACACAAATATTATTCTAGTAATACATATTTCATATCCAATTTAGTAATCCACATATAATTCATATTTAGCGTAGCTTAAACATGTTTTTATTACCCATTCATAATTGAAAATTTGACTACGGCAGAGACTACACAAGAAATTAATTGCATTTATTATCATGAAATGTACTCGTAGCTAAAATATATATTTTCCCATCAGCGTTCAGCGAGTTTAGCTGCCAAAATGCTAAATATTAAATATGCATTGAATATGCGTTTCAATTTTAGTGTACATTAAATAATAATTGAAGGCAAATGCATTCATTAATCTATTTATTTTTTTGTACCTCTTTCGCCCCATTATAATAATTGTTTTAATCCACGTTTTTAATCCTCCTTTAGCAGAAATAGAAATACGTATTTATTTCAACAATTAAAAATCATAATCGAGCGAAAAAAACATTTAGCGGATTTGTTGGTTAATTAATTGCATTAAAAGCGATTCTTAATTTTTTCACAGTTGATTTCCACATTTCCAATATTCGCCAGGTATACGAATTAGTTTTATGAAATTCCATAAGAAGTAGCACATATATCGTCTAGCTATCATGTTCAAAGTATAAAGAGCTAACTCATAAAATAAATTATCATAGCAGCAGTTAGTAATTGAATGAACTTCGGCTAGCCGCAGTTGATATAGTCTAGCAGGTCGGAGAACTATAAAGAATTATGATAGAGAACTGAACTGTTCCGAGTTTCAAATAATTCTTACAAAATCATCAATATATTTTTACGTATAATATCCCGATATACGTGTGCATATACTCTCATCACTGCTAGACTATATAATATATAGTATCAGATGTTCTCCTGGAACATATGTATATTCATACTTTATAATCCTTTCATTTAGCTAATTGGTTTTTCGAATATATAATTAATATTATTTTATATGATATAAGAACTGTAAGTAAACTGTTCAGGAGAATAATAATAAAAGAACTAAAGCCAAGATCATCTGCCCTGAACAGTTATCTTCGTATAGTTAGCTAATAAACTTAGATATATTTAAAGTACATCCTAGTTATACATAGTATATTATTTAATCTTTTTGATTTAAGTAGTTAACTACAACTCGATAATAAAGTATTAAACCTGACGTGGTCCAGTATAGAGAAATCCCATTCAGAAAAAAAAACTATAGAGCCATATAGCTCTTCGATTTGTATAGTCGCAATCATTAAAAGTATTTTAGATACATATTAAAAATTAATTAGATAGAAATGAAGAAATCAATAGTTATGTAAAATTGTAAACAAATCAAAAAATAAAACTCTATAATCGAATATATATAATTACTATATATACATATATAGCTATAGAAACATTAAAGATAGCTGACATTAAGGAGCTCATTGAAACATTTCTATTTATTTTCTACGTAACGTAACGTAACGTAAAGTAACTAAATTAGCTAGAAATATATTTAGAATTGATGAACCATTTAATCTTCTCTCTCTATATATAGATCGAAATATATAATCAACATAACATGTATCTCTCGAAAAACTGTATAAACTGTAATCGTATATTTGAAGTTATAGCCAGCCATATAATCAACCTACCAAGTTTGTTGTTTGAGTACGCAAAATGCTACAAACCTGCGCCGGCCAAAAACTAACTAAGATATCTATATCTATCTATATACTATATATAATATAAATCAATCAAAAGAACAAAGAAAAACTAAATTCTAAGTAAACTAAAAAAAATGAAAACCTTAAAACATATAAGAGATCAGGTATTTAACTTAATTAAGTGCATAACTAGGCGACTCTACATACATACATACACACAGTCATCTTACATACAGTACATACATATATACGTGCATACATACATACATGCAACATCTAACTGTGCTCATGCAATTTGTACATAATTTCGATCTAGGTCTATTAGCGAATTCTTTTTGAATTCGTTATGCGTTTCTCTAGGTATTTATTTAATTAAGCAATCTATTAGGTCTTGGCATTACAGACCCACACACGCAGACGCAGACAATATACAACACTAAGTCAGGCACACTTAACAGACACACACACACACACGCAAACACTCACTCAACAGACACACACTCACACAGAGCCAGTTACCCATAACAGAATTTTGCAACAACCAAAAAATAAATGTACTAAAATTTTTACTAATGACAAAATTTCTACGTTTAATTTTCTTTCCTCCTCTCTGTCTCTCTCTCTCTCTCTCTCTTTGAAAATGCGTCGTCTTTGTCGCTCATTCAAACAAACACAAACACATACACATACACATTAATTGAACACATACACACACACACTCTCGCTCACACACATACAACATACGCTTTTGCCAAAACTGCTTTTGTTTGTGTATGTTACAAATATTTTGTGTGCAAACTTTCAAACACAACGAAACAAAAAAAAACCAACTAAAACTGATACGATTGATCCTCCAACAACAACAACAACCACAACAACACCAAACAACACAACACGCTGCTATCCTATGCGTACAACAACTACACAGCAACAGGAACAGGATCCCACAAATTTGTATATAGCAAATTTGCCACCACACTTCAAAGAGACCGATCTGGAGGCAATGCTAGCGAAATTTGGTCAAGTCGTTTCCACTAGAATATTGCGTGATCAGCAGATGAACTCAAAGGGTAAGTGAAGCTGGCATTCCAATTGGATTCGATATAAACTCTTCTTATGGCGGATTGTCCTTGCAGGTGTTGGCTTTGCACGCATGGAGAGCCGCGAGAAGTGCGAACAAATTATACAGATGTTCAACGGTAACACAATACAGGGTGCCAAAGATCCCCTATTGGTGAAATTCGCCGATGGCGGTCCCAAAAAGAAGAATCTCTTCAAGACGCCCGATCCGAATGCGCGCGCGTGGCGCGATGTCTCCGCCGAGGGCATACCCGTTGCCTATGATCCGACTATGCAACAGAACGGCGTCAGCGTCAATGTGGGCACACCGATCGGTGTACCCTATTCGCGCTTTGGGGCACCACAGGTGGGTGGCTATCCGGTCGCTGGCTCGCAATGGATACCCGGCTATATGATGACACAGCCGATCACTCAGGTAGATGATCAGGTGAGTGACGCGCGCATTCTATCAGCCTTGCAACATATGTCCAACATTTATCAGTATTCCTCCTCTGCCCTGCAGTACATGCAAATGGCGGCCGCTCCCCAATTGGGCGTCACCTCGTACAAACCGCAGGAGGTCAACCAGGTGCCCGCACGCGGCATTTCGATGATGGTCAGTGGCGACACGGCTGTGCCATATGGAACAATGATGCCGCAGTTGGCCACCCTCCAGATTGGAAACTCTGTAAGTGCTCAACGAGCGTCAGCAAGTGAACAGCAAATGCAATATCTATATACGACCTACTCAGAGAATACTCAAGCACATATACGTATATGCATATATGGATGTCAGAGTTGAAGAGCAATCGAATAATCTATATACCATGTTGAACTGAGGGGTATTCACTGTCAGTTATTTGTTACCATGTTCGATATTATAATAGAAACTATATTGTATTCAGAATTTCAAAAATATCTATTTACCTTTCCTTAAATCTTTTAACCATAGTATTATCAAAAAATATATACATATATGCATATATGTTTGAGTATTATCATATATGACGATTGAGTAGCTCAGTAGACAACTTTGATGATCAATATGTGTGTATGTGAGTCTCTCTGCGTATGTGTGTGTGTGTGTGGGTGCGTGTGTGGCTGTGAGAGAAAGTTTCGTTGCAATTAAATTTGAATGATGTTTGATATATAATTTGTATTCTATATCTGTTCTTTTATTCCATTGTTTTTTCCGTTCTCTTTTCGGTTCCTTTATAGAATTTTTCTCCATCGTTACAGTATATTAGTCCAACTTATCCATATTATGCACCACCACCAACTATTTTACCAACAATGCCAATGACAGATTCCGAACAGGCTAGCACAGCTGCATCACCCGACGAGGCATACACACAGTATCCACATCAAGCCGCTCCCAAATAGGTCTTCGCGAGGTGAGTGATGTCTCTCTGTCTCTCTCTCTCTCTCTCTCTCTCTGTCTCTCTGTCTCTCTGTTACTATCTATTCATCATTGTCTCTATTTGAACATCTCTTCCGTCTGTTACTTTCTTGAGCCGCGACTAATCCAGTCCGTCTCCCACTCACTCACTCTCTCTCTCTCTCTATCTCTGTCTGAGCTGTTCTTCATGCATCTGATTTATTTGTGCTTTGTTGTTTTGCATTGGCCTCTATAGCGGGCACTCACTGTGTGTGTGCCACCCACTTTGAGCGCTGTAGCTTGTTTTGCATGTGCTGTGTGCTTAAAGTTTAACCATCTCACGACTCTTACGCCTGGCTCACTCTCAGCATTCCACGATCATTGGTGATTTCCCATCCCTTTACTATCATCTTCTTCCTTTTATACACGGCTCTTTGTTTTCTTTTCATTCGTTTTGTGTGCTGCTTGTTGTTGCTTGCCTGTTTGCTTACAAAATCTGTTCTTGACTCTAGAAATGTTTTAACTCTCTCTCATTACTAAACGCAATTCTTTTATTTTCAAATTGATTCCTGCCGCCTCATGACTGCAACTACAACTACAACAATTACTTGCATACTTAGTATAGTTACTAAGCAGCCTAAACACTGGTAATACATACTAGGTAAATATCATACAAATACGAATCTCAATGAACCAACTTATATATAATCTGATATAAGGGAAACTTCTTGTTATATATATATGAACTGGTTCCTTGGGAATTTCGCCAGCTACAACAAACTCTAATTGGTTCCATTATTTCAGATATAATATTTTAGTACCCGAATTGAGTACTATGTCATGGACGCAATGGAGGGTTAGCGTTGGGAGCTTTAAGCGCTGGAATAACAACAACATCTACAACATCAACAAGAACAACAGGAGAAGAGGAGTAAGAGAATAACAGGATGCCACGTCGGAATCGAGGAAGCAGTTTGATAACAGCCGAAAATGCTGTTCCCTAAGAAAAACAAAACATAATGTTAAAAAAAAAACTAAATAAAAGATAGAGAAAGATAATTAAGGGAGTTATGTATAAAAGATGAATGTGAAGAGCAGTAAATGCAGCAGCAGCAACAACAAAGGAAAGAAAAATACATACATAGTTGAGTTAAGCAGGCGAGCGGAGAAGAGAGCGTAAAAAGTGAAGAAAAGCAAAGACTAAACTTAAATAATAGAAATTAGTTATACACTAAATAGTATGCTTAAACAACAGCAACAAGAAAACGGGCAAGTAGTAGTAGTAGAAAGGGGCCGCAATTTTCATTGGGGGAGAGAGAGAGAGAGCAGGAAGAAACTTACCAGAACGGGGGCAACATTTTCTCGGAGAGAGAAAATTAAAAATAAAATACAAAGTAAACCAAACACTTGAAGCAACAACAGTTTGCAAACAACAGAAGGAAAAATGAAAATAAAACATAAGAAAAAATAAAATAAAATTGAAAGAAAACGCAAAACTCTAGTTAAGTAAATCTATATAAGAGAAAGCAAGAAATTGCACTGAAACAGCAAAAGGGAAAAGAAACGCATGTAAAAATGTTAAAATACAGAGAAACCACAAAAGCAAACAACTTTGTGACGAAATAAAGCAAAGTAAATGAAAACCGAAGAACCCAAAAATGTGTGCAATGTATGTTAAACGAAAAACAAAACAAGAAACAAAATGAAAATGAAATCAATAATAAAAGCTTGACAACAAAAAATAAATTAAAAAAAAAAAAACTATTCAGTCAAGTAAAAGCGAATATATTTATTTTTTATTGTCGTTTATGAAACTGAATTAACAAATGATGGAAATGAAAATTTTGGTTTACCAAGATTTTTTTTATTTTGCTATTTTAATTTGTCTTTGATTCGATTTTAAATGCAATTTTTAAGAGTCAAAAGTGTTTGAAGCACAAAACTAAGAGAGCGACAATTTTACCCTGTCTCTCTCTTTCTCCCACTCTCTCTCTCTCTCTCTCTCGCCCGCGAGAGTTGAAATTGTTTTTCGTTTTGTAAAGAGAAAAGAAAATAGGAAAAATATTCTCATTTATGTTAAATGCAAACGTTTCACACATTTTGTTAATTTGAAAAGCTGCGAAAAAAAAGTAAAAAGTTGAAGCAGAAAGTTAAAAAAAAAAAAATAATAAATAAATCTAAAATAAAAAAGAGAATTAGATTTAAGTACTAGCAAAAATGCAGTAAGCAGAAAATTTAGTAGTTTTTAGAGTCTAACAGATGAAAGATAAAAAGATGATGAATCACGTTGATTGGTTCATGGCGATTAATGAGAAAAACAAATTGATAATAATAACAACAGCATGAAGATAATGAAATAATAAGAACTCTTGTACTAGTTTTTAGCATATTTTTGTGCTCATCAGTCGATTTAATGAATTTTTTGTAGCTGTCTACAGTTTTTTACGTTTAACTGTGTGTGTTTTTTTCTAGCAACTACAACTAAGATATATTCTTGAATTAAGAAGAACAAGACGAGGCAGAGCTGGACGATAGCATAGTGTATTTTTTGTTGTCTGCAAAGCAAAGAGAAAAGAAGATTACGTTTAGAATGTTGGCTTAGGAATGGAAAGGGAATAGTAGAAGGCAAACAATGAGGCATATACAAGAAGAAGAAGAAGCGGATATGAAATTGTAGCAATGTAGTTTAGTTTCATTGTGACACGTGGAAAACATAGTGAATTTGTAAGTGGAAAAGGAAGCGGTCTGTTTTTTTTTTTCTTATGAATGAAATGGAACGCAGGCGGGACAACAGGCGAGAGCATAGAGAAGTTGAAGGCAGACAGCAGTAGCAGAAATGAAAGCAAAAAAACAAAGCAACTTAATGTTAAAAAAGAATTAAAAACAACAAAAAAAACTATGTTTAGTAAAGTAGCAATAAGAAAAAAACATAGAAGAAGAAAAGATAATGCAGCAGCGATTATTTCTTTAGAGTCTAAGTGTAAGTCTTAAAAACATGAAACAACAGTAAAATTGTCGATGGGTTGATAGATCGTTTGATCAGAAGATCACAATAGACAGACAGGCAGCACCGTGTTTGAAATTGAAGCCTAGCGTATTTATTTTTTTGTTGACAAAAACACATACACACACACACACTTATGCAGCCCACACACACACATTGTATTTGTGATTTAACTGAATGAGTTCTTAGTTTATGAAATATCTAAATAACGAGTTGGACTGGCTTTGAGAATCTCAGAGAGAGGCACTTGCAAGAAGAGAGTTAGTCAGAATACTGAAAGAGAGGGAGACAAGGAGTTTGAGATTCAGCAAGTTTCCAGCAGGGATTTAACTTTTCATTGTTCACGCACACACACATACACATATACACACAAACATTCCTGAGCAAAGTCTTTGATTTTTCATATGTATGTATGTTAACTATGTTACATATATGATTTGGCATTATATGGATTGCCTATATGCTAACAATCTATATAGAATTATATATATATATATAAATACAAAATGAAAACACAACGCCAAAAGTCTTCCTAAGCCTAAACCAAAACAAAAAGTGCAGTGCATGTTTTCCTATCATATAAAAAAAAAACACAACAACAACAACAACTATCATAGATATGATTTATATACTCTCTCTTTCTATTTAATTTGTACAATATGTAATTTGCTTTAGACTGAATACCAAAATGGAAAATGAAACAATAAAAGAAAACCAATTGAATTCAAATGAAAATGCAGGATTTACAAACATCACACAGACAGACACACACACACACACACACAGACACACTATAGTAGCAAGCGTCAAAGTAAAGCAAAGCAAAGATCAACGGAAAGAGGACAGCAAATGGGGCAAAGAAATATTTTGCATAAACATTCCAAGAGCAAGGGCAAGAACTAAGCAATTTTTTTTTGAATATTTTAATAAATGAAAGAACAAGACGCCACTGCAAATAGGGAAATCCAATCAACAGCAACTGGATAAACAAGAATCACAAATACAAGAGAAATGTCAAGAGTTTTGTTTTTAAGTTTTCCATATGTCTCACAATTGTCTTCTCTCAAACCCACACAAATACACACACACATCCGCCCCTCGACAGCCCCTACTTTTAGTTTATGTATTTCTACACAATGTGCAATTTTCTTTTATTTCGTTCAATTTTATAATATTTATTTTTGAAGTTTTCTTCATTTTGCAAACATTTTTGCGCTGTTTTTAGGCAGATAAAAAAACATTAAAATTTAGGTTATTTTTAAACGAATAGAAGATTGTGAGAACAGGAAGAATGGAAGTAGACGAAAGTAAAGAGAAAAGGAATCTTAGCTGCGAGAGTTTAGAAAGCCGTACTTTAAGCCAAGTTAACGGGGCAGACTACAAAGTTCCCCGCAAAAGCATAAAACACATGTTGTAGATGATTATAAAAGAAAGAAGTAAACATAAAAGAAGACGATTGTGGCTAAGGATTAAGAGTAGGAGTAGGAGTAGGAGTAGAACTAGTAGGAGAGACAACAGCAACAACAACTTAGTAACTAAGATCAAAGCACTAGAGTTTAAGTTTAGCTGAGCTAAGTATAGATTTGACAAGAGCGTTGCGTTGATTAAGGATAACAAGCAGAGCAAGAAGAAGAAGAAGAGAAAAGAAAGGAAATGAGGAGCCAGCAGCAGAAGTGAAGTGTAGCTGATGTAGTAAATATGATTTTTAATTGGTAGTAATTAGTTGATTAGCGTGAAGAGGAAGACGATGCGGACGCTGACGAATGAAACGAGACGAGAGGAATAGAAATTTGTAGTTTTTGTGTAGTTAGAGAGGCGTAAACAGTGTTGGGAAACGAAGGGTCGTCACGTTCGGATTAGTTTTAATTTTGCATATAGAATCGATTCACAGACCGATCGTCTAATTGGCAAGCAGCAGAGAAGTTTATTACGAATACATATATATTTTTTTTAATTACAATTTTTTATTCTATTTCTGACAAAAAAAAAACCAAACTTTATGAAAAAAAAACTTGTTTGTTTTGCGTCTGTATTTTGTTTTAATTTAATGCGTTTTACTTTAGTTTTTTAACTAATTTTAAGTAGTTAATTTATTATTTGTCGTAAAACAACACGAAGGAGAAGAAGAAATCATTTAAAATTTTGCCTGTTGCTCTCACAATTTGAAGAGTGAAAGTGACAAAAAGAAATTGAAAATTGAATTTGAATTTGAACTTGAAGAATGTGTTGAAAGTAATTTTTAAAGCGAAATGTCTAGTGCGTAAAATTGAAAACTAAACAACAACAAAAAACTTTGAATAAAAAACTTAAAAACCAAAAAAAAAAATAAATAAATAAATAAAAAACAAAAATTTAACTGTTTTTCATTTAAGTTTTCTGTTTGACATCATTTGCTTCATTGTTTCTCACATATATATATATTTTGTTATATCCCCTACTCCCTGGACCTTGTTTATAGTTAAATGTTTGCTATATATAAGTTAAGGAGAATAAGCTTAATTGATCTAACTCCAAACTAGTTTCCAGTAACAATTATAAATGAATTGAATTGTGTTTTAAACAGAGGGCAACAAGAACAACTTAGTCTTAGCTAAGTCGGCGGGAAAGTGAAAATGGAAAATAGAAAAGAATAAATATGAGAAGAAGAAGAAAAGAAGAAAAAAACATTTTTTAATTAAGCCAATTTAAGGAAATGATGAATATATATATATTTTTTTGAAACTTTTTTGACAAAACCAAAAAAACAAAAAAAAAAAAAGAAACAAAATACAATGAAATGAGAAAAGAGAGAAAAACATTAAACAAATGCATATAAAGAAAGAATCAAGAGGCAGAGATCTAATAAATGATAAAAATGCAGGCAAATAAAGGTAAAAACAACAACAACAACAACATCGTAGTGAAAGGTCAAGAAACAAGCTCATTAAATTTAAAAAGCAAACACGACGACAAAAGCGTAAAAATGTAGTTCTAAGTAAAACTTGAAAGTAAACATTAAAACAAAACAAAAAAGGCTCGCGCAGAGAAGCAGCTAATTAAACTTAGATGAAAAGATGATAGAAAAACTAAAAAAAAGAAGAAAAAGAAGAAAATAAACAAAACAAAAACGAGTTAAGATGAAGAAATGATCAGCGCTCAGCCGTGCGCAAAGTAAAATGTAAATTTCGCTTGTTGCTATTTTTAAGTTTTAAATCAAAGTCTTTTAAAGAACTTTATTCATTTCTCTTGTAAAACGATAAAACGTGAAGCTAACTATATCTCCTCTCTTTGTAACTCTCCACAAAAAAAAAGTATATATAGAAGAAAAAACAAAAAAATGATAACCCCTTTCGAATCTCTGTGTATTTTTTAAGGTATTATTTTTTGCATCAATGTGACGCTTGAAAGCATTTTTTACATGCATATGGAAAAGAATTGTATTTAAACACTAGAAAAGGCAGACAACAAAAATAAAGACAAAGATTGAGATGATAAGCAAACGATGCAAACAACTTTGCTAAAACTTTCAAATTTATAATGCGTACTTTTTGTGCGCTAAAAACTTTAATGCAAAAAATCATACATTAAAAAAATAAATTGGAGCTAAGGAGGTAAAGTTTAAATGACAAAAAAATGAAAACGCAAAAAAAATATTAAATGAAAAATTAAAAAAAAAAAAAAATTAGTTTAAGCAAAACATTTTGCAGCTTTTGTGCTTATTTCGCTTAAGAAAAGTAAGACTAGTTGAAAAAAAAAATTAAATCTAATTGTAAGTAAAGAAAAAAATGAAAGAACGAGGAAACATTGAGCGCAGGTGCAGCAAGCAGGTGCAGAAAAGCATTAAACAGAAAATAGCAAAAGAATAAAAACAAAAAACATGAAGAACATACAAAGTAAAAATGTCTCTTTAAAAACACTAAAGAGCAAATGCTGTCATCCAAAAAAAAATTTAAAAAAGTAAAAAAAATACAAAAAAAAAAAAAAAGAAACTGAACTTTTTCTGAATCAATAAAAAACAAATTGATTTTCTGTAAGAAAACAAACGCTATTGATGTTTTTACTTTAAAGCGGGTTTATGTGCTGGAAAAGAATGGGCTTCTTCAGCTTGTTGGTGGATCAATATCATGCTTTGGGGGTGGCTGCTGAGACACCCTTAACAACGGAGGTCTGCAAAGTGCGGGCAAATGGCCGCAGGCAACAAGTTCACACACAGCTCCAAGCCTTTTAGACTGGACCCGTAATATCTGCGCTGGCCGGAACTTCCCCTAAAATACGCAACAGTGGGGGGGGGGCACAAAATATGAAAAGCCTATGGCACATCCACACACATTTATATATATGTGTATGTATGTATCTGTGTGTGTGTGTTTGTATGCGCACAAAGCCGTAAGGATGAACCGAAAAATGTTGACAGCAATTCAGCCTACAAGTTTTGCTGCGAACCTGTTCGTTTGACTTGTTTGATGGTTTTATGAGTGTCAAAACTCGACAGCTTAATAGACGTTTTTATGACAGCAATCGCATTTTCCGCCATCAAAGCTCCCACTACCCTATAAAGCTAGCATATAACAGCCAGTCATCTATACACACGCACACACATACACTGATTTGTTTGTAAATATGTATGTGTACGCACATGCATAGTCTGTAGGTATTTTTATACAAACGCAAAACTGGCTGCTGTGAGCCATCATCAGTGTTGTCAGTTTAGCTAATTTTAGGCAGGTCTAGCCTATTTGAGAGTGGTTTAGCCTATGGTGTGTCTCTCTGTGTATATAAGAGTCCTTCTCTTTGTCTGTCTGCCCAACAAACGAAAGGGACAAAGAGTAACTAAAAATAGCAAAAGATCATCACAGTTTGCATTTATTTTTGAGTAACACGAAGTAAGAGCAATAGAGAGTAAACCGAAGCTGTAGAGAGTAAACCGAAGTACGAACACTCGCAACAGCAGAGAGTGTTCCCATTGGTGTCGGGCCCAGCATTTGAGCGTAACTAAGTGCTTGAGTTAAACTCTCCCTATATAAAGGGCAGTAGCTGTAGCAAATCTTCAGTCGCCCAGGCCTGGTGGGGGTGAGTCGTGCCGTGCAGTGTGATCGCTTAGCTAAGCATTAAATATTTGGAGGAAATACTTGGGGGAAAATATATTGCGGAAATTTGGCGAAACTTTTATCAAGTCAGGTATTATAAATAGTAGTATAAAAAATTGTTAGTATTTTTTATTATTATGTATAAATTACTATTTTATATATACATACATATATTACTATTTTTTTTATATATGTATATTTCTATATATATATTTTTTTATATATATATATATATATATTTTTTTTTTGCACTTTTCATTTAGCCCGCTATTGCAGCATATTTCCCATTCATAGCTCAACAGCAAGCAACACTGACCGGCATTGACACCGGAACAAGCGCCAACATCAATACCGGCATGCGTGTGCCTGTGTGAGTGTGTGTGAGAGCGCCTCTTGCACTCACTCTCTCTGGCTGTGACAAAGAAATGTAAACAACAATAACTACAGCGCGCGTACACACACAGTCGCACGCACGCGTGTATGCCTTGTTGTGTACTTGCTTACCGTTATTTCGTTTGGGTCTCTCGTTTTTGTTGTGGCCGCTGCTTTTTCGCGATTCTGTTCGCCTGGTCGTTTGTTGTTTTTTGTAGTAGTTGTGTGTGACGACGAGACCGACGGCAGTGTTAGAGAAGGGCATTGCCATCGGGCGACGTCAGTGCGAGCGCAGCTGCTGCGGGACAGGCGGGTGGTTGTGCTACTTAGCGAATCATCAATTTATTTGAATTATGTGGTATGCTATCGGAAATATTATTGTCAGCCATTATTTTCATTGCGAATATACATGTTTTCCATTATTATTAAATATTTTAAGAAAGCCATAAACAATTGCAGTAACATATCAACAAAACATCTGGCAGCCTTGATTAGCGTTGTTCACGACCCATAGATGGCGCTACTGTATTTTTGAAGAAAAACGACGAATAAACAAATTTATTGTATGCTTTTAATGTTACCCGCATTTATGTGGATTTCTATTTAGTTTTTATTAATATCATTTCGTACAGACTCTTATGCATGCAATTTTAATTGTTCGTAAGCTATTTTTAAACAATAAAACCTAGCTTAAGATCATGCGAGAGCAGAGCGCAGAATAAATCGTACAAAAATGAAGACCGCTAACTGTAAGTGTTAACTGTTTTACATCGATTTCACTCACTGTTTACCGCTATTGCCACATATAATTGTAATTGAATTTGGTTAAACAAGATGTTGCCATGGAAACGATGAAAATTGTCGCGCTTGCAAACCGTTAACAAATTAATGCTAAGAACCGAACTATTTAAAAACAAAATCATACAAAAAACTTTACACATATGATGGCCTTTCCCGCTTTGTTTCACTTGCCACCAAAGCCGCCCATCAGGTTCCCCAGTCCGCCTAGGCCACCCGCCGCGCCCTGTTGCAACTGGCGCATCATATTTTGAAGGCCACCAACGCCACCCATTTGCTGCAGCATGCGGGGATCAATCATCTTGGCCATCTGCTGATTAAGCTTGGCCATTTGCGTGGGATTCACATTTTTAGTCATGTCGCCTTGTTTGAAGAGGCCCTTAACGCCACCCATTTTCTTAACGACTGCAGCAAATTTCGTGTAGTGGGCTATCAGCTCCTTGACCTCTCGCTCAATGACTCCTGCGCCATGTGCCACACGGGTGCAACGTGTAGGCTGCTTGCTGAAGAGTTTCGCCCCGTCACGGTTGTCCAGTTCACTGTCGGACATACTGTCCATCATTGTCATCATGCGCTTGATGCGCGCCATCGACTCCTGTTCGCCACCCTTGGTCATGAAGTCTTGTGAGAAACCGGGTATCATGTTCATAATCTGTGAGAAAGGTCCCATTTTCAGGATATTCTGGAACTGCTCGTACATGTCGCGTATGGTGAAATGGCCATGCTTGATCTTCTCCAGCAACTCTTCGTTGCCGTCTAGTTTCAGTTCATTCACCTGTTCAACACATGTAATACTTCGTTAAATAGTAGGGGAGCGTGTTGTATTATAATTACCTTGTCTATCAGTCCCTCAATGTCACCCATGCCCAGAAGTTTGCTCACAAAAGGTTTCGTTTTGAAGGGCTCCAAGTCATCAATGTGCTCGCCAGTGCCAATAAAGATAATAGGTGACTGAGTGGCAGCCACAGCAGAGAGAGCACCACCACCCTTAGCATGGCCGTCCAACTTTGTGATAATCACGGAACCGATATCCACTTTCTCTTTGAAGGCCTTCGCTTGAGCTTCGCAAGCCTGTCCAATCGTGGCATCCATTACGAAAATGATATTGTCCGGGTTGACCGCATTTGCTACCGCCAACATTTCCTCGAACAGCGACTCTTCCTGCTTATGTCTGCCCGATGTGTCCACAATAATCATTTCGAATCCTTCGCGCTTGAACATGTCCACTCCTTCTTGTGCTATGACCACAGGATCGATTTCTGTGTAGCTGCCATAGAATGGAATGCGCGCCTTGGTCGCATTCTGCTTGATCTGATCGTAGGCACCTGCACGGAACGTATCCGCGCACACGAGGCACGACTTCCAATTACGTTTCTGGTAGTGATAGGCTAGCTTAGTACATGTGGTTGTTTTACCGGAGCCCTGCAGTCCCACAAACATGATCACATTGGCCTTGCCTTTGACTGGCAGATATGGCTTGACACCAGGATCCACCAGTTTGATGAGCTCCTTGAACACGGCGGACTGTATCATGCGGCGTTTGTTCAACCCTCCGGCCATTTCATCAAAGTCGATGACTGCTCGTACATTCTCGCGCAGCTGCTTCACCTGCCGTATGTTTACATCGGCCTCTAGCAGCGCAGCGCATATCTCTTTCAGCATAGCACTTAGGGCTTCCTCATTGATGACGGTGGCTTTGCTGAGCGAATGCAGCGCCGTCGTTATTTTTCGTCCTAAATCTGCTAAAACCATCTTGGCGTATTACGTGATACGTTAACTGTATTGCAGCGGCGTGCGTTTTAATTTAGTTGCCTTATATGCAAAACAAAACATGCGAATTGAAAACGAGTTAACTTTTGATTTTCTCTGACACGTCAAATGTCGAACACAAAGAAGAAGTTGAGACTGACAGTCAAATGGACATGTGCAAATGTCAAAACAATATGAGTCTGAGCTTGTGTGAATGTCAAATATTTGCCAGTCAGCTGTTTGCGTTTACTGTGAATGCCAGTCGTGCTGTTGGTTTCTTTTAAAATTAAGGCGCTCAGTTTGTAATTCGTAATTAAATGGGCGTGAAGGAATTATGGAGCATTTTAACACCTTATGCAGATCGCAAACCAATATGCGAACTACGCGGCAAGAAGGTTGCCATAGATCTGGCTGGATGGGTGTGCGAAAGTCTTAATGTAGTTGATTATTTTGTGCATCCGCGGCATCATTTAAAGTAAGTTCTGGAAAAATGATTTATATATGTATGTATTCATTTACTGCAGGCCTTCCACAGGAATCTCTTCTTTCGTACGTGTTACCTTATTTGGGAACAGGTAACGCCCGTATTTGTATTGGAAGGAGTCGCGCCCAAGCTTAAGAGTCAGGTAATAGCTAAACGCAATGAGCTGCAATTTCGTGGTGCGCGACCCAAGGATAAGGACAAAGATGCAGCGATGCCCACACAAGCGGTAGCCAAAAACGACAAAGGACGCACTCGTTTTAACCATGTACTCAAACAGTGCGAGAATCTACTGCTGTCTATGGGCATACAATGCGTTCAGGGTCCGGGAGAAGCTGAAGCGTATTGTGCATTTCTTAACAAGCATGGCGTGAGTTCAGTTGCTTACTTTACATGGTTAAATGAATAATACGTAATTACCTAAGTTAGTGGATGGTGTTATAAGCCAGGACTCCGACTGCTTTGCGTACGGTGCGGTGCGTGTCTACCGAAACTTCTCCGTGTCCACTCAGGGCGCTCAAGCTGCAGCTGGTGGCGCAGTAGATATTTATGATATGCAAGAGATTTGCAATCACATGGATTTCGGGCAGAATAAAGTTATTGTCATGGCCTTGCTTTGCGGCTGCGATTATTGCCCCGATGGCATAGGCGGCATAGGAAAGGATGGCGTACTTAAGCTCTTTAACAAGTACAAAGAATCCGATATATTGGATAAGTAAATCATTTTCCAGTATCATTTCCATATCACTTTTTCAAAAGTTTCCTGTTCAGATTACGCAATTGGCGTTCCGAGACTGATAAATATAATGCACTGGAGTTGCGCGTGGACGACAAATCCATTTGTAGCAATTGCGGTCATATTGGACGCACACAAAGCCATACAAAAAGCGGATGCGGCGTCTGTCGCACACATCGCGGCTGTGATGAAACCCTATGGAAGTAAGTAAGCTGGTTAGCTGTGTGCCTAAACCTAATATTATATTATACTCCTCAGAGAACAACGGCTGTCTATCAAGGCGGAACTGACATTGCGTAAAAAGGCTCTGCTGGATGTAGACTTTCCTAATGAAGAGATCATATCGGAATTCCTTACTGAGCCCGCAAAACTTCCCAATTTGGTGCTGGACTGGCGGCAGCCCAATATCGTGAAATTTATCAAACAGATTGGACATCTTTTGCAGTGGCCAGAAATCTACTGCTTTCAAAAGTTTTTTCCTTTGCTCACTCGCTGGCAAGTGCAGCAGCCAAAGGAAGCCCTTGCACTGGTCCAGCCGCAGGAGATTATCAAGAAGCGCACAGTGAAGGGAATCGCCAGTCTTGAGTTGCGTTGGGAGGACACTAGTGGCTGCTTCAAAGGACTTATACCGCATGATCAAATTGAAGAATTCAAACTGGATCATCCAAAGGGCATGGAGGAACTTTACTACACTGTTGAGCCATTGGACATGTTGCAGGCTACCTATCCAGATATGGTAGCTGCCTTTATCAAATCCAAGGAGAAGCCACCCAAAAAGACAGCAACGCGTAAGAAGAAAGTTAATTCAGATCCGCCGCTCAGTGCACTTGAGAATCTGTCGGATTTGGCAGCCACAACAGCAGAGATTATCACAAAACCCAAGCGTGGAAAAAAGAAGATGACTACTAATCCAACAGCGAATGGGCAAAAAACAATGCAGCACTTCCTCAAACAGAAAGAGAATACACCTATTAAGTCCTCTCGTCAGCTGGCGAACCAATGCTCCACGCCTCTTAACAAGCACTTGCCCTCTGATTTGGAGAGCGACGCCGAATTTGATATGTCCGACATTATCAATGGTATTGTTTCCAATCCGCAAGCAGTGCCTGCTGTGACCAAGCACGACGGATACCAGCTCCACTATGAACCGTTAGCGGAGGATTTAAGCCTTCGTTTAGCGCAACTGAGCTTGGACAAGCATGATGTGTCACACCAACAAAGCTTACTGATAGATGATGTAGACTTGCTAGTTCAAAAGCGCCGCGATATCTCCATGAGGACTGAGAGTATGCCATCTGCCAAGCGCTACTCATTAGATGACAGCTTTGATCTGTTGGTCAAGGGCGATCTAAAGAAAGTGCCACACCTGGTCAAGACACCCGTGGAACGTTTCAAGCAGCAGCATCGCCTGTCCACTGCGAACAAGTCCAAGCAACTGCCGTCTATCAAGCCAACAGCAAATGTCAGTTACTTCTTTAATCAAAGTGTTGAAGGTGCCGATGCTTTCGAGCAGTTGATGGAGTCAAGTTTGAAGGACTCGGAAGAGGATTTGGTGGTAATCAGTGACAGCGATTAAGTTTTTCACTTTATGTACATCTAATAGTCTGCAATATATTCTCGCTAACAAGAGCAAACTTAAAGCTTGCGTTTGTTCTGGGGCAAATTAGAATTCCAAATAACGTTTGGCATAGAGTTGAGCATTGCGCATCGCTTGCTCCAATTGCTCCTCGAATTGTGTGTTAACTTTACGGCCTTTCATGTTGCAGACGACTTCAGGATTCTGACCTTTAGGCGCAGCCACTTGGCCATTAAAAGTTTCTGCAAAGGATTGCAGCCAAAGCGAAGCATTAAATTGCTTGCTGATGCAGTTCTGAAAAGATAGGATAAGTCGATAAGTTATATAAGAATAAAATGACTGGATTTACCTGCGGCACACAGCAGCGCGCTTTGACTATGTTATCACACATGCTTACAACCAGAATGGGACGATCTGTGCATAATTTCGTGGCACGTTGCAGGGGAATCTCCTCAACCAGTGCCGAGCTGCTTATAAAGTGTAGGATGTAGGGATGCGTATCAAGTGGCTTTTCGAGTAGTAAATTTCGCATTTCCACTTCCACAAATTCTCTGTAAAACGAGACATTAGTTAGTGCCTGAAATAGTAATTCGGTACACCTACTTAAGGGTTGTGCGCGATGTCTCCTTAAGTCTACGTAGCATTTCATTGATGCGATCGAGCGTGTCCATCTTGAAAGCATAGGGCAGCTTTATGTCCGAGTGCAGAATGTTGTGGCGTATGGTCTGCAGTTCGGTTTCCGTGGCGTTTGTTAGCTTGTCTGTTTGAAACTGATTTTCCAACACGTCCACACGATGACGAAGCAGTGCTGCTGTTTTTAGAACCTATACGAGAAGAGAAAATATTAGTTTGAGAAGTTGGACAGAAGAGTTCGACAGCTTACATTCTCTGCAGCCTGTCCAGCTACAGCTGTAAAGGCATAGCGAGCTCTATTGGTTTGCTTGAGATTGACAATGCAGAAGCAGGACATCTCCTTGGTGTTGGTCACATGAGTACCGCAGCACAGTTCCTTAGAGCTCAGATTTAGCTCTGGACATTGCACATGAATCAGACGCAGCCCTTGCTCAGGGTAAACTTCTCCGGGCACCATAGTGATATCGTTCTGCTGCAGCACATCGGCTGCGCTGAGCTGATGTACTTGGACGGGCGTGGCTGAGCAGATTGCGCGGCTTTATACGAAAGGTGTATTAGTTGCATAGAAGTGTGAAATATATGTAGAGCGTTACTCACTTGATCAGATCCTCAATGTGCTGCACATCGGCTTTGCTTATGCGCTTGCCCAAGAGGCCTAGCTCCAACTTGCACTGCTCACTGCTTACTGCGCTGGAAACCTGATATGTCACCTTATTGAAGAGAGATCGTATGGCGGCATTCAGCAGATGGGTGGCTATTAAGAGGGGCATTAATTTAAACAATCATTTTTCCTGCTCATATTTAATACCTACCCGTGTGGTGGCACGCATTCAGCTGACGATGCTTGGCATCTACCTCGAGCTGCACCTCATCCCCAACGGCCAGATCGAAGTCGTCGCTGGGTGTGGTCAGGCGGCAAACATGCACCACACACTCATTGAGATGCTTTACGTCAACCACTTCCAACTGATGAGGCTCCTCTGGCTTCTGCTTGTTGTGCACTATCAGCCTACCAAGATCCGATTGTTGACCACCAGATTCGAAATAGAAATTACTTGCAGCTGTGACAATTGAGAGCGTATTGAGCGACGCTTCTGGGCGAATGCGTGACACTTCCGAGTCGTCTTGCAGAATGCCCAGCACACTACTTTTCAAGATCGGGATCGCGTAGGTTTCATTTTCTTCATCATAGCTGTATATATACTTGTAACTGTTGTCAGTGGATGGCAGTCGCTTGGTGAGCTGCGCTTGTGCATCTGCGATGCGCTGCTGAAGGACCAGATCGAAGTTGCCACGGTTATTCTGTGGTTCCTTGGTTCTTAGTTTGGCCAGCGCCAATTCGGCACGATAACGATCCAAATCACAGTTCATGTTCTCCAGCTCAGCTAGCTTCAGGAAACTCTCCTCGGTCAGCCCATAGGTGTCCGTTAGCTTATATAGGAATTCACCGGGTATCGTATTGTTTGAAAAATTTGAGCGTTGCACTTGAAATTCTCGATAGGCAGGAACAAAACCAGGGCATTCCATTAGATCAATGTCATCCAGTTTGGGAAACTCAGTTAGCACCTCGGCAAAAGCCTTAGATGAGCTCTCACGCAGATTTTTGTACACCTCCTGCTCGTGGGCAATCAACTCGATGACAGCCTGCTGCTTGTTCGACATTTCAGGGTAAGCCTCGCCGAGCGTCTCGACTACAATAGGCACCAGCTGTGACAGAAGTTTATCATGTGCAAACACCTGCTCCGAGATACTGAGCGCCTTTCGTAACACGCGACGCAATTTTTGGCTGTGTATAGAAAATATTCAGTTATGAAAGAAGTTAATTCTGTTTCACTTCCAACTAACTTTTGATCCGGCAACATGCCATCGGCCAAGCAAGCTGTCACCATGCGTGCATGATCGGCAAGTATTCTATAGCTTGTGTCAAGTAACGCGGCGTTCTGATCATCGGGAAAGCTGCCGGCATACACGGGTGCCTTGGAAAGCTAATTATGAAACAAAGGCTAGATTTCACTTTGCTAATCGTTCCAGTAAATCGGTGTAAACTCACACTATGTATGGCATCAAATAACGGTGTGAAGAGATCGGTGTCGTAATTGGAGGATTTGTTCTGTAGCAGCGCAGCTAATCGCTCGAAACCCATACCCGTGTCCACGTGCTGAGCGGGCAGTTGTGTTATACTGCCATCTGCATTGCTACACATATCAGGTATTCAATAAAATATTAAATTTCTCATTGCACTGACTTTGCCACTAACCGATTGTACTGTATAAACACCAAATTCCAAAGCTCTGTGAGGTCTGGACGTCCAGCATTCACTAGCTTAGCGCGCTGCTCAATACTAGCTGGACCATCACCAGGTCTGTGATCTATGTGTATTTCAGTGCACGGTCCACACGGACCAGTTGTGCCCATTTCCCAAAAGTTGTCCTTGCAGCCGAAGGGCAAGATGCGTGCAGAAGGAAATCTGTTTGGTAAAAAGTGATTAATTTTATTAAGCATTATGTAACTAATGATCTCTTACCCCAAACTCCGCCAAATTTCGAAGCACTCCATGTCGGCTGGTATGCCAAGCAGCTCATCGCCCGCAAAGTAGGTGACATACAAACGCGAAGGATCAATGTTGTAGGGGCCGCGCAGCAGCTCCAATGCCATTGCACAAGCTTCCCGCTGCAAGAAATTTATAAGAGCAATGCCCACATATAGATGTAATAGTATTTACCTTGAAGTAATCACCAAAGGACCAGTTGCCTAGCATCTCGAAGAACGTGTGATGGTATCCATCCTGACCCACAACCGATAAGTCATTGTGCTTGCCACCGACTCGTACACATTTCTGCGAATTCACGACGCGTTTGTACGGTGCTTCAGCTGTGCCCAAAAAAATGGACTTGAACTAATGCAGGGTGTCTTATTAGCGCACAATAGATTAATCAAATTAATAATGCTTAGTGATCACCTGGTTCATGCCTGCATTGACGAATGCGACGGTGGGATCACAGAAGGGCACCACGGGACTGGAGCGCACAAATTTGTGTTCATGGTTGACCGTAAAGTAATCGATGAATGTTTTCCGAATCTCGCGTGCTGTGAGCACACGCTGTAGCTTTTTGGCCGAGTTGTACATGCCAAATTAATTGCAGTCTTAATTACATGCGAGAGCAATGTGGACCCAGCAGCTGAGCCGGTAATTAAACAACCCAATCAGATCACAATCGCACACAGCTGATCAGAATTGAAGTTCGCATGTGAACGTGTTGACATTCGCTTGTTAACGCAAGGGACTTGTGTTCTATTTTTTGGCTGAAGCAACAGCTGCATATTTTGACTAAAATATGCAACGAACAAGAATAAGGCAACAACAAAAATATTCTCGTGCTATGTGAAAATAATATGAAAAATTCAATAAAATACCTATAACACTTTGGACTCATCGACGCAACTAAATTATAGCGTATTAAGTATAATGAAATTTGAACTTTGACACTTTCGTTTCAAATCCGCTTTCACTTTTGGCCTAACATATTACCATAACCAAAAACGGCAACAATAAGACGGCGTAGTATAAAATAGCTTCCCAAAGTGCAAATATAATCTACCGGAACGTAGTAAACCAGATTTGGGCGTCAACATGTCAAAACGGCGTCCTCTACGACCAACTGCTGGATCTGGTCAGCCTAGCAGTTCCAATATGAACTTTCGACCTGGTGGTCCCGATATAACTCGAGCTGAAGCGCGGGGCACTCGGCCAACTGCTGCGCCCACCAGCATACGTGAAATTTTGGTTATGGGAGTGATACATCTCTGCAAAAAGACAATATTCTTCAATACGGACCTGAAAGTGGCTTTATATTTGGGAAGTTTATTTATCATCTCGCTCATAGGCGACTTCTTGCCATTTCCCAAGACATATTTTGCACGCTCTGACAACCTATTCAACTTGTATTTCGTCAAAGTTGGTTGGGGCTGGACCCTCCTATTTGCAGTACCCTTTGCGGTGCTTTCCGCCTACACGATTACCTGCGGTGACATGAAGCGCATGCTGAGGCATCACTTTCCACGTATTGTGATAGCAACGTTCTTCTGGTTCTTCTGGACAAAGCTCTTCAATATTGTAGAAACCTCGTATGGTCGCTGCACTACCAAAGGTAGGTCTAATATATACATATATACAGATTACACAAATTAATACAGAGATTTTATTGCTTGTAGGCTTCCAGAGCAAATCCAGCTGCCTGAAAGCCGGCCATTTATGGCAGGGCTTTGACATCTCTGGCCATGCGTTTATTCTGATTCACTCAAGTCTGGTGCTGATAGAGGAGGCGCGACCCATCATAAAGTGGGAGACGATCAAGGAGCATTTGCGCAATGAGCTACACAATCGCAGTGTCTCCGAGAAATCAAGTAGCAATCCCTTGCGCAATCTGAACGATGACCAAATACGTAGTCTACAGTTTCTATACACGCGACTGACGCCTATTATTCGCACCTTGTTTATTGGTATGGCGGGTCTGCAGCTGCTGTGGGACATAATGTTGGTGGGCACCATGCTGTACTATCATCGCATGATCGAGAAAGTCATCAGCGGGATTATTGCAATTCTGACGTGGTACTTCACGTATCGGTTCTGGTATCCAACTAATGGTCTGCTGCCCGAGGCTCCAGGCAATGGTCTTTTCTACTACCAGCGCGACAACTTTCCCATAAGGCGGCCAACGCATTTACACACCTCCGTGCCAGCTGGCAGCAGCCAGTCGTCTGCCAGTGGACAGAAAGCAAACCCCAATGGAAGTGGTCAGTGGTCAGCCAGCAGACTGAGCAGTCAGCCGACGCAGCAGCAGCAGCAGATACCCACTTTCATGGGTATGCCACTATTCACCAATGCGAAGGCAGCTACTGCAGCTGCCAGTTTGCTGCAAACGGAAAAGCTCAAACGGGAACAGCAGCAGGCGGGCGTGGATAGCTAAACCCAAGCTTATGTGACCCAGCTACAGAAAACAGGAATTGAATTATATTGGATAGGGGAGTCATTTTAACCGGTAGTGGCTAGCGAAATCTTTTGTACCAAATAGAACTTAATACCAAATGAATTTTATAAACACGATTGTACAATAATATCAGTAATTTTGAGGCTCGCACATTACCGTGGTGCGCTGTTCATAGCTCATTGGGGTCTCGACGATCCGCTCTCTCACTCATCTCTCATTCACTGTTTCTGCCTTCCGCATCTTGCTTGCATTGTTACCACGTAGACTTAAGCGTTCTTTTGTTTGTGTTTATATGTGCCCAACTTTAACAATAACAATAAAACGATTGTTAACAAACAGCTTGCCGCCTACTTATGCGCAAAGGCTGCGAACATGGCCATACCCAAGAAACCGGCGGTAGCTCCCAACTTGTAATTGGAAGGCGTCATGCTCCACATCTCTTTCAAAATCTCGAAATTGCTGCTGGGCATCAGTTTGTGGTACGAGGGCCGTTGCTTGAACCGCAAAAAGAAACCCTCTACCAGCGGCAGCTTGCCGTAGCCCCAATAATAGTTCTCGAAGCCTAGCTGATAGAGCCGCTGCAGCAGCAGACCCAGGCTGACGTCTGCCAGGGTGAGCTCGTCGCCCGTGAGCCACTCCTTTCGTGGCGCTTGCTTTGAGAGTTCCTGCTCAACGAAGAGCAACACGTTGCGAACGGCATCCAGCACACGCTGAAAGTCTGTACGTGAGGCAACAAGATTTCTGCGACGCACCTGAATATCTAGCTTCTGCTTCAGTGCACTTAAACAGATGTTCGAGTTTGTCTCATCCATGGATCGACGCAGCATGTCCATGACCTTATCATTGTTCTCTGCGAGATAGTGAGACACCAAAGAAATTATTAAATAGACACAGCTCTTTTGCACATTTATACTGCTCACTCAGGCAGGATTGCCGCACGGGCCCAATGAAGGGAGCCTTGGGCGACAGCTTAAGGTCGTCGTGGATAAAGGAGCCCAGACTAAGTGCGCCCACTGGTAGGCGTGTAAAGGCGCGTTCAAATGTGCTCATCCTATCATATTCCAGCGAATATGGCATATATGGCTTCAGGGTGGGATGATGCTCTGCAAGGAGTATTGTTTGTTTACAATAACTATACCAATATACCCTGTAATAAATCAGTTACCTCCTCTAAACTTCGACTCCACATAGTTGATAATCTGCGGCGAGTTGGGTATGATAAAGGCGCCATCCTGCAGCACAGGCACATCGCCTTTGGGATTTAGATTTAGGAACCAACTGGAATACTGTTCGCCATTGCACAAGTCGACGACGTAGGGTGTGAAGTCAATGTTTTTCTCATACAGCACCAGCAAAACCTATAAATAAAACGAGAAATATTTAATTATTTCGGTTGACCGCAAGTCTATGAATAAAATATATCGAATATAAATGTGTATATATAATAACTATAGGCTTTATAATTATTTTCTTGTACTTAAACTTTTCTATCATATTTGTTTATTTAACTCTCAGCATTATTTCATATACTTCATTAGCACCTGTATCAACGTTAAATAATATTATTTATTTATACTATCAAAACGGAAAGAGAATAAAAAGCCGAATCAATTAAAAGCTATTTGTGCTGAGAGTGAAGCCGATCTTAAATTAGATATTATTCATACGCCCCCGTCAAGCACGATTGCACTTTTAACTGAGCAGGGGGATGAGTGGGAGAGTTTGTGGAGAACTCCAACCTAGTCATAGCTCCATGTGTGTACACATATAGCAGTGTGTAATAAAGACAATTACTACGATTAGTTTTGTAATTTCGCGCCATTTGATAGACGGCCTTCACAATTTGAAGCACACCAATTGCGTGCTCTGTAACGTAATAAATGAATTTTTCTTTCTTTCGAAAATCACATGACTTCAATTGTTAACTAACTTTTTGCGAGTAGAAGTTGTATGGGTGGAAGTAGAGCACGAGTTTGTTATCGTTAAACACAGGTGCCTTGAAATCCTGTGGTGCGGGCTCTGCAGGTGCTATTTCATTTGCTTGGCTATTCATCTTTTGCTAATCTTGTGAATTCGAAATATTTGGTTATATCACATGCTATGCGAAAACGAAAACCGTTAACCGCGTGCCGTTGACTAAGTTCCCGAGCTCTGGTAAAAAGCGGCTTGAACAATAGGAGCAACACGGAGCGACTAAACTGCCGAAAGTACGCTTTGCGAGTGGGACTGGGTATGGAGTAGCGTAATGAAACAACAACTAAAGCCGCTCTGTCCACCTATCAATTTGCACTTTCAGCTGAGAGTAAACATTTACATTTGTTGTTGCGTTTATTTCTGAATATGATTTGAGATGTTGTGGTGGCTGGTGGATTATTCGTCAACGATTCTTATTCACTTTCAGTGTGACGGTAGTACTCCCCTCTTCGTATTTATCTTTATTTATCTTGTTACGAAATCGAGATCATATATAATGCGTGCGGACAGTGTTTATTTAAGTTGTCAAGTTTTTCATTTCAACATTTCTTATCTAAAAATTGAGGTCCACGAACCAAACACCCTTTGGTGTGCATACTTTTTGGTATATATTACGGTATTTCATAAGATATCCACATATGCAAAAAATGAAATACCGCTTCGGTGAATGGACAGGAGTAATTTCAGATATTATTATTAGCAAAATGAAAATACGCAATTTAATTACAGCTGCAATTCAAAAAGCGCGCTCAAAAAAGCTTTCGATTTCGTGGTGAATGGCAACAGCCGCAATAAACAAAACAAGTTCCAACTGGAACTGCTTGTCTTGATCGTATAGGAATCGCTGAAAATAACTAAAGTGCGGAAAATCAATTTCGCACACAGTGTCAACTCACATCAGATTAGAAAATTTTCTAAAAATATGTTGCATCTTGGAAAGCAATTGGCCAATAGGGCGCCAAAGCTCAATTTGACCGCTGCCTCCGTTTTGTCTGGAGGCAAAGTCCAAAATAGCTCGCAAAACGCAACATCGATTAGAAATCTTAATCAACATAATAGCAACAATAACAATATTAACAAACTCGTTAGCCACAATCTTTGCCACAAACGGTTATACAGCGGCAGTGCCAGTCAAAGTACAAACGTCAACAGAATGAAGCGCTTAGCAGGAAAAGTTGCAGTAGTTACCGCCTCCACAGATGGGTAAGCTCCAATGATATTAGACTTTAATATATTTATATTTGCATATATTATATTATTTTCTAGCATTGGCTTTGCAATTGCCAAGCGCTTGGCTGAGGATGGCGCTGCGGTGGTCATCAGCAGCCGCAAGCAAAAGAATGTGGACAATGCCCTTGCCGAGCTGCGCAAACTGAATCTTAATGTGCATGGACTCAAGTGCCACGTGAGCGAAGCGCAAGATCGCAAGCAGCTCTTCGAGGAGACCATCAGCAAATATGGCAAGCTAAACATTTTGGTTAGCAATGCTGCTACTAATCCTGCCGTTGGCGGCGTGTTGGAATGCGATGAGAAAGTGTGGGACAAGATCTTCGATGTGAATGTGAAGAGCTCTTATCTGTTAGCGAAAGAGGCACTGCCTTATCTGCGACGAGAAAAGGGCTCCAGCATCGTCTTTGTTTCATCCATCGCTGGCTACGACGCATTTGAGGTCAGTGCAATATTAATATAACAAGACCCTATTTTCATTTGCGACCTTATCTACAGCTGCTAGGCGCATACTCTGTGAGCAAGACGGCGTTGATTGGCCTGACTAAGGCAGCGGCCAAGGATTTGGCACCTGAGGGAATTCGTGTCAATTGCTTGGCACCTGGTATCATCCGTACAAAGTTCTCGAAAGCGCTCTACGAGAACGAAGCTGCTAATGAAGCTGCGCTTAGCAAAATTCCAATGGGTCGTTTAGGCACCAGCGAGGAAATGGCTGGAGTTGTCTCTTTTCTTGTCTCTGAGGATGCTGGGTATATAACAGGCGAGTCAATCGTTGCCTCTGGTGGTATGAGTGCTCGACTTTAGTGTGATGCATATGTATATACTTATATTTCTGTCTTATGAACTATGAATAACAAATATGTGTACAAAAAACTTCCAATATAGTGGTGGGAGGAATTAAGCACAGAAAAGTTCACATTTTATAGCTAGGCATATCTAGGAAGACCTCAGCTTGGCCAACTGGTCTGCAATGTCTTTTTCGGTGCGTTTTCCGCTAGTTTCGAACTCGCCAGACCCTGCAGCTGGTATGCTGGCCATCTTTCCAGAGATTTCGATGCCAATTTCATCGAGCACCTTGTTTACCACCTCATTGGATTCCTCCTCATCACCGGACTCGTTCAGCATATCATCTAACGTGTCATTAATCATTTCGTCTGTCATCTCCATGCGCATATTCGCCTGTTGGAAGTCACGCACTGTGCCCGCTATTGCCTCTGGGCGCATCACCTTGTTCATGGTGGCCATAGTCTTGGCTGTGGTACCCATTGCCTCGCCCAAGGCTATGTTTGCGCCCATGTTTTTATTTTGGTAGCCTATTGATTGAATTTTGCCAGCAGCGGCATAGCTGCGAGATTTTTGTTTACGAATTTCGATCAATTGCTTAGCCAGAATACGGCATGCATCATTGTTTCCAGCTGCTGCATTGCGTTTGATCTCAGCCTCCAGTTTCTTTTCCTCCTCTTCCAGTTTTCGGCGCTCACGCTCTATGTCGCGTGTCGCTTTGCGCAGGCTGCGATCATTTTCACGTTGTTGCTCCTTTACTGTGGGCTTTTTCCCAAATATATTGTTAAACATTATTATTCTATAATTTTTATGGCCGGACGGGCAGGAATTTTCAAAAGATGAATCACTATTGAACCTGGTGTTTGGTGCGTGTAAATATCAAAACAGAATCAGCTGATTCTTTGTCAGCTGTCAGCGCTGCCCTGTGAATGACTAAAATATTTGCGAATGGCAATCAATTTCGGCCGCTGCCAATTGTGATTGTGTTTACCGGTGTTATTTTATTTTTATACCTTAAGCATGGCATTAGAAATACTGAAACAAGGCGCTGAGGGTCGTCTATACCTTGGCGAATTCAAAGGTGAATCGTGTTTGATAAAGGAGCGGTTTGTCAAAAAATATCGTCATCCAGATTTGGACACACAAATTACGCGGCAACGCATGAAGGCCGAGGTGAAGGCAGCTGGCCGTTGCCTGGCTGCTGGTATCCTTGCACCGCGTATTCTCCACTCTGATTTGAATACACACAAACTGTATATGGAGTACTTTGGCAGCGCCAAGACAGCAAAACAATTTATACAGAAAACAGTCGCCGAGTCAGCCGAAGAGCAGGCGAAACCGCTGCTGGAGGAGCTGTGTACACAGATTGGCGGCATCATTGGCAAAATGCATGCCAACAATATAATACATGGCGACCTCACCACATCAAATATTCTAATCAATCCAAAAGCGACTGGCTATGATGTCATTTTCATAGATTTTGGATTGAGTCATTATAATCAGGCTACGGAAGATAAGGGCGTAGATCTCTATGTGCTGGAGCGAGCTCTCTTGAGCACACATAGCGAGCAACCTTATCTATTCGACTATATCCTGGCAGCATATCGAAAGGAGTGCGGCAAGGATGAGGAAGCCGTGTTGGCCAAGTTTGAGGAAGTGCGTGCACGCGGACGCAAACGCACAATGATTGGTTAACATCATCTATATTCAACGAATACTTAAATAATAAATTGTTAAACTTACATTGAATGACTATTCTATTCTTTTTACTGGATCAGACAGCTGTGGTCCATCCTGCAGCTCATTAATTTTGATTTTCTTAATATATTTGCGTAGCTTGGTTTTCCGTTTCACTTGCTCGTGCTTCGCTGGCTCCTGCCCAGTGACGGAGTCTTCCGTGTATTGTTCGTAGGCACGTGGTTTCAGCTTGGCAATAGCGTCTTCCAGCTTCAAGCCGGTTAGGCCAAGCTCCTCGTAAAACAGGCGGTATTTATCACAGAATTTGGAGTGCCCCTTCTTATAGCCTTCAGTTTTCGTTGAAGGATGCTGTGAATAGAAAATATGGATTACATATACTCTGGCTCCATTAATATCCGTCAAAAAATTACCCTAGCATCTATAGCTCTCGCACAGCCTCTGTGAAAGTTGTGCAAATGACGCAAAAATTGTTCGTTTGGTTTTATGCCCTCCTCTAAACACAGCTGCATGATTTCGTTGATGTACGCAAATGATTTCTGTGCACAGCCTTGTCGCAACATAGCACCCAGTATGGGCATATTCATACGTATACCCGCTGCCTGCATTTGCTGTAGCAGCTCACGCGCCTGCTCCTGCGTGCGACAACCAAGTGCTAGAACGCCATAGGTCACAATGTCCGGCTTCAAGCCTGCTGTACGTATCATACTCAGGACTTCGCGGGCGCTCTCATAATCAAAGCGCATCGAACGCTTCTTGATAAGTATATTGAAGAAGTCAATGTCCGCTTTGAGTCCAATCTTGCGCACGAAGCTTAGCACTTGTTTCTCTGCTGCATTGGTAGGTGGAACAACCTCCAACATGGTGGTGAAGAATTCAATATTTGGCGTTACGTTGTGCACTTTCATCAGCTCCAAATAGCCAGTAATGCCGCCCAAGAGCAGAAAACGTTCATGTGGACGTGTCACTTCAGCCAAGGAAACTAAACTACCTAGTTGTGGGCGTGGCAGCAGCAGATTAGGCAGCTCTAGTTGTTCGGTGGGTGGAGTTGACAATTCCAGCTGATTGACTTCTCCGGATCTGGGTGCAATAGATAAGCTATCAGCAGGAGTCGATTCCAGCTGCTTTTCATCTCCTGCTGGCAGTTCACCGCTGGCTACACCTGGGGCGATTTGCTCCAGCACCAGTTGCATGGATTCTAAATCTCCAAAACCACAATCCCGGACGCAGCGTAGCATATTACTGAAGCTGTAGTAATCTGGACTTATACCACGCTGGAGCATCTTGTGCCAGGTGAGCAAGGCATGTCGAAAGCCGTTTTTCTCATCGCTCGCACAGGCTTGTAGTAGGAAGTTGAAGCTCTCCGCGTTCAACGGTAGCTGACGATCGAGCATCTCATCAGCTAACATGTATGCAGTCTCGATGTCGCCGCAACGACCATACGCCTTGATCATGGCATGGTAGTTCTTCAAGTTTGGCTCGTAGCCCTTCTCCAACATGTTCTCGCGCAGCTGCCTCGCCTTGCTCAAGCCATCAATTTGACTGGGTGCATTGGCACATGCATTGAAGAGGGAAGTGTAGGTTCCACCAGTGACTTTCAGTCCACGTTGACGCATTTTGGTGTATAGACGGAATGCTTTCCGAGTATAGCCCGCCTTGGCGCACCCACTGATTAGCAAATTGTAAATATAATTCTCTGGCTTCACACGGTCCTCCCGCAGCATGCGCACCTCCAGCACAGCAATGGCATCATTAATACGATGAGCATTCAAGTGCTCCTTTATCATGCGTGCGTATTCTTTGGTTCGCAGTTTTCGTGAGTGCCGCGTGGGTCTGCTAATAAACTCTTCTTCCTTCGCGTCACCGGGATCTTCTGCTTGTGTACTACTGAACTTGGCATCGCCAAATGTATCTGGATCTCCGAAATTTGTCACCGTTTCCTTTTGTTGCTTTTGCTCCACATTTTCTTGATTCTCTGTCTTCTTTTCGAAATGATTAGAGCTTTTGAAATTGTTTCGGTGAGCGCGCTCAGGCATCTGCCTTCTTGGGTCCTCATCTAAAATTGTATCTAGAAATGGGTTTGTCGGCCTGTTTGCTTCTCTTTTCGTCTGCAAGCCGGCATCCTGATCCGTAATACGCACGTGTAGTAAACTGATTTGTTCCCCCTGCAAAACTGGGAGTCTCGATTGCAAATCAAGTATGTTCTTTAGCTGTAAGCCATGCTTCGGTGTACCTTGCTGTATGCGGCATATATGCGGTCTCAGCGTTAAACTGAAAAAACGCAATGCCATTTTTAAGTACGGTAATTTTCTCTGAATCTTATGTAAATTGTTAAGTTTTTTAAATGTGCATGCCGCTGAACGTTTCTTGCTGAGTGGAAGAACAAGCATTGTCATTCACTCGCCTACGTTGCATGTGAATGGCATACAGCTGTTTTGAATCGATGTGGCAACATCAACATTCCCTTTGCACTGCTAAATAAAATTTCAGTTTTTTTCACATAATCTGATCGACCTGAATTAAACCATTTAAAAATGAATTATTCTGTTGATCCCCGTAGAAAAGAAAAAATTAATCGCTACAAGGCACCAAAAAACCAGGGACAAGGCGGAGGTGCCAATGAGGACATGATGCCCGACTATATGAATATTTTGGGAATGATTTTTTCAATGTGTGGTCTGATGATGAAGGTAATTTCCACGTCTTAATTGACATCAATGTAAATACATATGATGTGTTTCTCCCCCAGCTTAAATGGTGTGCCTGGTTTGCACTCTACTGTTCTTGCATTAGCTTCTCCAGCTCACGCGCCAGCGACGATGCCAAACAGGTGCGTACAAATATGATATTGAGGTCGCTGTATTAATGAGAAATTTTCAGGTGTTATCTTCCTTCATGTTAAGTGTAAGTGCTGTGGTCATGTCATATCTGCAGAATCCAGCTGCAATGACGCCGCCATGGGCCTCGTAATAAATTGTATATCACCATTTGGTTGCTGCTAGTTAAATGAGTGAAACTTTATTATTATCCAAAAACTCAAAACAATTGCTTGGATGTGTAGAGAGTAAAGCTCTAAATAAATTATCCGCGGAAGTTTGTAATAAATTTTGCTAAATAAATTTCAAATATAAATAGTTGGCTCTAGCTGCGAAACTCTACGTGGTGAGTATGTAATAAGCAAACAGAATAAAAGCCAAAATATAAATGGTGCCAAAAATCAGTACGTATTAAATTTCTCCAAAGTTTGCATGACCCGTAGCTTTGGCGTGCTGTTGGGCCTGTGTCTGGCCCACAAGCAGTAGATCACACTGTAAACAGCGAAGATTGAACTTATCGACATTTGTAAATTGTCGCGAGGACTTTGCTTCGTTTGCCAGCTGCTCCGCTTGCTGGTAAACGCCCAGCTCTTCTACAGGGAAGATGGTAGCTGGGGAGGCGCTTTGTGATGTCTCCATGTAAAGTGGATCATAGTGTATGCCATCGAAGAGGAGGAACACTCGCAACCCGAAGTTCTTATCTTCGCCAAATCGATTGATAATGGCATTTTGTATATCAACAACGTCGATTTCTATGCCATAATAATTAGATAGAATCGATACTTCAATGGCACCGCCCCATGAGTCCGCCTTCTGTATCCAGGCGCAGTACTCGGCATTCGATTTACCAAGGACGGCATCATTATATTGCTGTGGATCGGCGGCTACCTCTTGGGCGATTATATGCCGCATCATTTCGCTGCCTTCGTTATCAACTTTGCCATTCAGCACGAAGCGTATGCTCGTAAAGAGACATGAGTTATCCGCTGGCACAACCTTCTTCAACAGAATCCCATTGAAGTCGCCATTGGGCCCAGCTTCCGTGGGTGCGGACACAGTTGCGTTTTCACTCTCACTGTTGCTGGACTGAGCGCCAGTGCTAAGGGCGTTCAGTTCAGTATTGCTTGTTGTCACCTGACGCAGATGCTCTGCATCTTCCTCAGCTTGAAGACGACGCGCCAGCGCTTCGTCATCCTCCATGATTGCAGAATGGTCGACTACAGGCACCACCTTTTCTTCCACAATCAGCGTCTCGCCACTTTGGATGCCAATGGACCGCAGGTTACGTTGCTCATCATTGAGGTCCAATGGCCGCGGTGGAAAACCCACCAGAACGTGCAATTGTGGTTGCTTAATTTCCGTAGCTTGACATATCCGTGTTTTAAGCTCAGCTATTGTTATATTTTCGTTAAGGTCATTAACAATGAATTGACCTTTCTTCGTTTTTAGCTTCACACTAAACGATCCAGTCATTATTATAATTCGAGGTTTGTTTTTTGCCGAAAATTTATTGCGTGGTATTTTATAAACTCTCAATTTTGAGGTGATGGGATTATGCCCTGATTTGGTTAAGATTGTTTATTGTCTAATAACTTTTATTTTTATCCTTCTTTTGCTTATTGTTTAATGTGAGTTAGAGATGGGGGCAGAAAATATTTTGTGGTTATCGCGAGTCTCAGTGCTGCCACACTGTTGCCATATTGATGGAGAGACAGCCGATACGCGTAACCATAAAATACACTAAAAAACCCCTTGCAGCATTTTATGCGCGGTAAAAATTTGAATTTCAAATTTTGTCACATATTTGTTAAAAGTAAATAATATTTACAATAGGAGACGAAAGTCAACGTCGCCAAGTTGAGAAATGTATATTTCAGAAGGAATAGTCTGCGACGACCTTGACTAAAGAATATTTGAAATCGGCAAATATTTTTAAATGTTTATTCCGTGCGAAATTGAGTTTTGATCATTAAGGTGACGAAATCTTAAAAGCCAACGAAAATGACAACACTTATGTATTACCAAACTGAGCCCAACAATAAAGACGCTAATAACTATTCAGTGAGAGCGAGAGTTGGGTTAACGATTAGCTAATGGTCAAATCAAATAGAACTCAGAACCAAGGAAACACATATTAGCGAAAACCCACATCCAGATGTTAGTCAATAAAGCAATTTGCCAGCCGACTAGCCGAACAATGGGGCCAATAACAACAAAAGTGGTCTTTACAAAAAAAAGTATGCTCGGTTTGCTTTATATTTTATTTTTCCACACATCCAAACGCCTTGCGTGGTACACTAAAATCACATTTAATAGTCCAAACAAAATTTATTGTTGGGCTACGCAGTTCGTAGATACGACAAAGATATTTTGGAGCTTCCATTGTGACGATGTGTTGTTTTAATATCTATGAAAGACGATCGCGCTTGCGCACCGCATCACATCGCACAGACCGGCTCGAAACTCTCATATAAATAGGTGGTCAGCGGTCTCTAAGATCAGTGCAAGTCTGTCAACGCGAACCGCGAGATCATCAATCAACACTCAGTTACTTTTCAGTCAAGGAGTCAAGACTCAAAACTCAATCACCATGAAATTCATTCTTTTGGTGCGTGCGTCACTAGACACCTTGCTGCTATGGATATAACCTTCAACTAATTGTGGATTATATTTGCCTATTTACAGACCGTATTCGTTTGCCTGGCTGTGTGCTTCATGGCCGTCAGTGCCAAGCCTTTGGAGGAGGCCATTCCCCAGGGTATTGAAGGACCTGGCAATGAGCCCATCAACCCAACCGACGATCAGTCCTTGCTGCTGAAGCTCAAGCTGCTGAAGAAGCTCCTCTTCCTGGGTTAAATGCCATCAGCAAATGGACTTCATTAGCATATTTTGTGTTTAGTTCTTAAGAATGATATTAAAAACTGAATTTAAAAGTAAAACTTGTTTTTAAATGATTCGAAATTGCCAATGAGAAAGTAATGAAAAATATAATAAGGGATATTTAAATAAAAAAAAAGATATTTAAATGAAATAATATATGGTCTTTTAATAAAAAGGTTTCTAGATATAAGTGTAGAAAAGTTGAATGGAAAACCTAAGAAAGGAATATGGAAATCAGATATATACGATATGTACGGAAATGTATAAGGAATATATAATATTTGTGTATATATCAAGATAAATCACATTTATAAGAAAACCTAAGCGGACTTTAGTTGCTCGTTAAATAATTTGTGTCTTGAAAAATTAGCATTTATATTAGCTGCTAGTTGCTAAAAACAAAATTTACAGCCATGACAACAATTCGCATTTATAAATTAGTTATTTATAAAGGTCAATGTCAGCAAACTATTTATATATGGATTATTTAAACGTAAATATGCAATATAAACGCAATTCACTTTAGCTATGATCAAAAGAATTAAAAAACCCCTTTAAAATATACATAAATTTAGCCAATTAATAGCATGTAAATCGTTAAGACAAATAGTAAACGAGTTATTACCGCCTCTTAAACAGAATTCACATAATGTTAATCAAGCAGTCAACATGGTTGATCAGCACTTGGTTCCCATTGAAAACTATGCCAGCGGAAGCCCCATTCTTTAAGCAGAAGAGATTGCGTTTGTATTGTTGGATTTTATGAGAATTACATTTATTGAGTTACGTATACAGATAGGATGAGTATGCAATTGGTTTGTGCGTTTAAGACTCTAAGCGAAGCGTTTAATGTATTCCAAGCGGTGAGGTTCAGGTTCCCAGTTTCATACGTGATATTTAGACTAGAGTCAACAGGTTTAGCTGGCTGACTGGCATTTGGGCCTAGCCCAACAGCAGCTTCTTCAGTTTCTTCAGCTTGAATATGGCCTGAGGATCGTGGGGATTGTGCACGTCGTCAGCCTGGCCGTAGATGCTGTCGCCCTGCAAGGTCTCATCCACTGGCACAGCGGCAACCAGAGCCACAGCCAACAGGCAAATGAAAAGGGTCTGCAAAATGTTGGAATGCACATGTTATCCTTGAAGCCAGAGAGCAAGACTGAGGAGCTTGGAATGCTGTCGATCGAACACTTACCAATGCGATATACTTCATAGTGGTTAACTGTAGAGCTGCTTAATCCAAAAATTTGACTGCACTTGGTGGCCAGAGTGCCTGTGGCTTTTATACCCAAGAGGCGACGCCCGAAAAAAGATGAAGCACAAAAAGAAACCCATCACTCGATGATAATATAGTATGTAAACTACGCATATTACATTCTCCGACATGTTTGGCGATACATAAACAAAAGCGCATAAATAAACGAGTCTGGTCAACAAAAACAACAGGCGGCAAAAAAAAAAAAAATAAATAAAAATAAAGAAAAAGAAAAACTGACCAAAATTGCAAATTGCAAATTGGTCGAACGTGGCGCAGTCAAGTCTTGGGGCCCTGCTGGGCACCTGCTCGTGTCACTCTTTGCAAATAAAGTATATATTTATAAGGCAGTGCAACAAAAACAGCGATGAGAGACACGCCTGCCTCTGTTTGCATTGGTTAAGTGAGAGGCAAAGTGGGAGACGCAGCTGAAGCCGGAGCCGGGCCCATGTGAGCTATTTGTGCCACTGAAGAAGTTTTAGACGCTGTTCAAATAGACTCTATACTAAGTACGACTACTCTGAAGGCGACAACATGATTATTGATGGATAAATAAATACTTTTTCACAAAAACTCATCTGCTCATTGAACGCACTTTTGTGCAGCTGAGCGTTTCAGATTTACATAGCTGAACTGAAGGTTATGCCAATCATAACACATGGGCTCTCTAATAGAGCTCTGTCATAGATCAAGGGGACTAGATTGTTCGAGAGCTGCAGAGCAGCAGACCTGTTTAACAGATATCTGTTACAGAAACTCATCGGCTTGAGTGACAGAGCCCTGTAAAAGGATTTAACAGGTTCTGTAACAGAGCTCTTTGGCAAGCCGCTCTGCTATAACAGACTTCTGCAACTCACCTTGAAGAGCACCTTAACAGAGCTTCTAGAATGCTGTAACCGAGCTCTCTTCCAGTGTTAATTATCAATTAGTCAACAAAGCGTCGGCAAAGCATGACTTTTAGTTTTGGTCTTTTATTTATTTAAGAACAACATTGCAATATGCGGAAATAGAATTTGTATGTATGCATACGATAAAATATGGTATCATAGCCCATTAAAATTGACATTAATTGATTAACACTTATGTGTGTGCTCGAGTTTCTCAAATGTTGGAGCTAAAGGAAATCAGGTAATCCGCGTTTCGAGCAAGATCTGGTACAATTCGCACCTCACGTAAGTCCACCAATGGACAAGGCAATTAAAATCAATTTGGAAGTTTTGAAGACATAAAAAGAGAAAAACAGATCCATAAATTTTGGGGCTATTAGAAGCGCCAAGACGAAATATTGAAATCAAAACCAAAATAGTATGAACGCCGGCTGACGAATAAAGACAAGCAAAGCAGAGAATAAACATATACACATGTATGTATGTCTGTATATTTGGGATCAGTCAAAGTCAATGTCGTTCCATATTTACCTTTTCTTACTTTTTTTTTATTTTATTTTATTTTTTATTATTATCGAATGTAGTGCAGCGGAAATGAATAGAGATCACCAGAATGAATGAGCCGATGGCAAGCATGACAAAGCATTTGCTTACGAAAACACCCAAAAAGATGTAAATTTGTTTAGTGTTATCTATTTATGCAAATGATACTAAGCTAATGTAAATAGTTGCAGCTTGTTTGATCGGGCAGCGAAATTGTTTGAATGCTCTTTGATCAAGTCATCATGATCAAAGCAGCGTCTGTCACGTCTTGTCGTCGTCGAGTTGTCTGTGCGCGCAACGCCTCTTGTTAACCCGTTTCTGTGCCCCTGGGCAATTCAGTTAAGGGCGTGGCTGGCCCAAGCTGGCAATTTATTTATGTTATATGCCCCTCTCCATAGACATGTGATTCGCACATCTCGCATATGAAGATTGTAAAGTTGTCGCAAGTCGTCTTGGAATTAGCTATAAAAGTGCGTAACATTCACTTCACATTTGTCGCCTCAATGATGCAGCACAAACGATGGTCATATATATACACATACATACGTAGGCATTTAGTTATATGTAGGTCAGATGGGAACTGCTGGCGACCTTTGCCTAGATCGTAGAACACTCGACTCGGCACATACAAATTAGTGTCTAACCGTTTAGCTGCTAAGCTGAAACAAATCACGCACACGCCCTCCGCCCAGAGCTTCGTTTAGCCCGAATATACAAATGAGTTGATAAGCATCGGGGCATCCAATATGCCCAAACGTGGCTGGCAAACAAATCCATTAGGTCAGGCGACGTGGCGTGACTGAACTGAAAGCGAAGCGAGTCGTTGGGAAACTCTAAAATGAAGAGCTCACCCTAGCCATTTGGCTATGAGTTCCTATCGCGGACTGCTGGCTCTGTCCTGGCTGGCAGCGCAGGCTCTGAGTGTAAGTATATCATATAACGGCAATTAGACTCTTGTAATAGCCCTCTTCATCGCCACCTTCATCTCTCTCTCTCTCCCTCTCCGTCTCTCTCTCTCTCTAGCTGAACATGCAAATTGATGAGTTCTACTCCAAGTCGTTTGTGCCCAACGACATGCTCGTCAGCTATGATGTGCGCAAACCTGACGCGCTCAACTTCAATTTGACTGTTTTGGTTCACTTTCCTGGCAAATTGCTCATTCAGGTGTTTGTGCGGCGGCTGGACGATGTGCCGGGCGGGCCAAACTCGTTTGTGATGCTCAAATTAAAAAATGTGGACTTCTGCAAGTCGCTCGAGTCGCTGCGCAACATGACAAATGATAAATTCCACGGCGAGCCCCTGATTCCGTCCACCTTCCTGATGTCGTGTCCACTGATGTCGGGCTTCTACTACGTGGAGAACGCCACCTTGGATGTTAGCGTGCTGCCGTGGCTCATCAAGGATGGCAGATACTTTGCACTGCTCGAGCTGGTGCAGGTGTACGAAGAGGTAACCAGATTAATAAATTTCAGAGTAAAGGTCACCAAGAAGACGCCCGAGTCGGAGCTGGCAGGCGGAAAGCCCGAAACCAGCAGTGAGGATGGCTTTAATGACTATAACTTTTGATAAACACTTAACTTGATTGGGCATGTAGCGGCTGCAAATCTTGCTAAATACACTCCAGGCCTTTGTTTGTGATCATTTGGCTAATTTGTCTTCGCTTGGAATGATAAATGCATTAAGATGTAGTCGGAAGCTGAAAACATTATTCAGTTGATGTTGATACGGAGCTGATGAACTTGAGCTAAAAGCACTACGAAAACGCACATGAATTATGCGAGACAAACAGAAAAACCGAAAACAGAAATCGGGGCAAGCAAACGCGATCCCGAAAATGTCTCAAATAAATCATAGCCCAAAGAGAGTCGCACGCACGCAGCCATAAATTAAAGCTCGAGTATTTTTATTGCAATTCACTTGTTTGTACCAACAAATAACTAGTACAAACAACGACAACAAAGACGGCAGCAGTAGCAGCAGCAGCGGAGGCAGCAGCGGAGACAGCATGGTAAACAGAAGGCGGTCTGGGCGGGGCTTAAGCCGCAAAGTACAGTGAAAGTGACGTAATGCGGCGTTGGCCATGGCAAAATATCAAATAAAAAGAGGAAGAGCCGCACAAAAAGAAGCTGAAAATAAAGGGCATTAAACGGGCGACAACAAAGTAGAGCGAAAAATGTCAATGTCTTTTACAGCACCGGAAGAAGAAGCAGCAGCAGCAGCAGCAGCAGCAGCAGCAGCAGCCGTAGCAGCGGCAATCGTTGACCATTGATATGGACATTGGCAGACGCTGCGTATACGTAATCTGTGTGCTGCCAGTTGTTGCTGTTGTTACTTTTTGCACAAACAAATTGCACATGCATCGCACATCCGACGGCGGCTTACATTTATTTACTTTTGCTGGACTCTTTCTTCTTTTTGCTGATCTCTTTTTTTTTACTGTCCACTTTTGTCTTTCGGTCTTTTTTTATCGCCTGCATTTACAATTCAATGTCATAGCTTTGTTGTTTTTATTCCCATTTTTTTATGTGGTTGTCTGTGGTTGTTGCTGTTAATGTTGCATGTGTCGCAATTGCCAAATGTAAGAAGACAACCGGTTTGCGAGCCATGTAAGAGACTGCAGTTTCAATGTTAATTTGGCTGCGGCCGATTGACCTTGAAACCTGTTGGCAACTGCAATGTGCCTGGCTTGTCTGTGGTCATCTTTGTGGTCAAGCTCATGCATTATGTATCCACGACTCATCAACTTTTATGATGCTGCCAGCCCTCCTTCCAGCCTCTACAGTAATTGTTATTGAAGCTAAATATATACATTGGTGGATAGCCAGCCGCAAAGATCGTTTACGAGTCTCGGCCAGACAAATTTAGCTGTGTGGCCATTGCAATTCGTTTACTGCTTGATTACAGCTTAAGATGTAAAGCGTAGACAACGAGCGCACTGCTAATTTACAGCAGCCTTGATATGTTCTGTTAACCACAAGAGAATTCTGTAACTATTAACAGCAAACAGCTTAAGCTGTTAACAACATTTGATGTTGAGCTGCTCTAATAAAAGAATTGTATTGTATGTAAACAGGAAATGGTTAAGCCAATGAATGAGTAAATTATGGCAAGGTAATAAGATTTACTATAATAAACATACATACATGTAAGTATTTATAGTGGCATTTAAAATAAAATCAAACTGAATATTTAAATTTATATACATATTTCGTAAAATATGTTCTTTTTTAACTACTTATAGTGGGCAAAGAAAAATTCACAGAAATGGAAATTGTAAATATATGTAACGTTATTTTTTTATATATTTATTCTGTAGCTTATATCTAGATTTTGTTTAATAAATTATTCAATTCTGTGAAAAGGTCGGACTTTACCTTGTAATTCACAGCTATCTAGTTATGATTTTATTCATGATTTTTGTAAATATTGTTTTCATGTGCTTTGCTTTGACGAATTGTTTGCAATGACGGCATTTAGTAAACATTGGTATAGTTGATTGATTTCAAAGATCACAGTGTACAGCTGCAATAAAAAGTGTGCACAATGCCAAATAAACAATGTTTTTAGCTGCTTATTTACTTAGTGCTCAGCAATAGCAAATATATTGCCAGAGAGAAAGAGAGAGAGAGAGAGAGAGAGAGTAGAAAAGAATGAAAAGAACTTTTGTCTAACGCGGGCTCGAAATGTGGTTTACTATAAGCAGCTCTTGGTGTGCGAGAGTGTAGGTATGTATGAGTGTGTGTGTGTGTGATATGGACTGTGTTTTTAGATAAAATGCAAATTCCCGTTAATTGAACGCCAAACAAAAGCGCCGAGGCAGCAATGCTGCAAAAACATAGTTGGGTTTGAAAAATCAATTAGCAGCATAAAATACTTTGGTTTAAAGCCGAGACCCGGTTAGTTTGTAGCTGCTGCTGATGATGCTGCTGCTGCTGCTGCTGCTGCTGGTATCAGTGTGGCATGTAAACATCCTCTCTACTCCTTCGCCCCGCATTCAACGTGCAAATATCGAGCCAGCCAGCCAGCCAGCGAGCGAGCGAGCGAGCAAGTGGAAGCAGTGGAAAAACCGCAGCTGCTGCTTTAAATTTATGCCATCGCGGTATTAGAAGCATAGTTTGCGGTTACCGCAAAGCGAAAGGCGTTCAGCTGTGGGCGTGGCATATTGGTGAGGTATTTGGCATGGAGCATAGCAACAAAGCGAAATGCAAGAAATCAAGGCTTTAGTTGTGGGCGGGCGCCCACAAAAGGCGAACAACAACAACAACAAAATACAACAAAAACAACAAAAAAAATGGCGAGCTTTTATGAATATTTATAACACAATGGAGCATGAAAAAGTTGTTCGGGGCTTTATGCAATGAATGTATGCATACAAGTATCCTTCTGAGTGTGTGTGTGTGCGTGCATGCATGCATGCATTTAAAGCGCCCAAGGTAGGGCGCAGTGGCCCAGTGAATGTTATCGATATCAATGCATTGCCAGAGGCAGTCAACAAAAGGGGCCCGGACAAAGGTAAGCGCGGTGAAAAGGCAATGCAGAGAAGCTCTTTTTTTATCGTCGGAAATTAATAAGGACAGCTTATGCTGTAATGAAGCTGTTAAGAAGTGCACAATATCGCATTATGAAATGATCTTTCCTCAATTCGATTATCGAGAAAATAATTAATTGCGTTGCTTATCAGCCTCAGATAGCATGCAATCGTGCGCTGTATTAAATATATTCATGTGCAGCACATAGAAATGGCTGAATGAATATAAAGTCCCTCTCAGCGCAGCCACTGCACTTCAGACTCCTTCTGTTCCGCTCCACTAACAGCGTTCGGCAAGAAATCTCAGATTCTATGCAAATTGGAATGCTAAAGCGAAAGTGCATTCATTTTGTGAATTGTCCATTTTGAAATTGAAAGCTAAAATGTTTAATTCTCAAATGCTAAACTGCTCGGCCAGCAGCTGTGTATATATGTATGTGTGCATCAATACCATCAACAACATTTGCCATCGGCTATGCGTATGGATAATAGATATATTATGCATACGACCTGTGGGCTGCTGCCATTCCGAGTGCGTTGAGTAGGGCATTAAGAATGCCGTTTGTAGAAATGTATTCGAATAAAAACTGCCAAATGGAAATCTTAAGTAAATTATGAAATTTCGTGTTTGCATAAAATTTCTAGTAGTTGCTGCTGCTGCTGCTGCTGCTGCAATGGAAATTCAGATATTGATTGTTGCCGTTCGTTGCGATAGACACGTCGCGCTGGTTGGCGCCATCTAGCGGTCGCTGCATGCAAATTGCAAAATCAGTGCGTGACTTGTGAGATTAAAGAGCGTGTCTTTGCCAAAATACTACAACAGTTTCCCCCCTAATGCCAAGCGAAAGGAAACCAAAAAAATGCAAACAGCAAAAAGTCCAAACTGCATTAGCCATGGCAACGCACTCAGTTAACGCTACTTTTTCCACATTGCTCACGCGCTGGGGAGGGGAGGGACGGTGTGGGGCGTGTGCCAAACGCCCTTCAATGCCCGCCATCTCGCACGTGTAATGCCCCAGACAATGGGCCAACACACAGAGAGTCGCTAATCACGCATCGTCAGCCTTACAAAAAGGGCTAATAGCGAGCTAATTTGATAGAGCTGCCCAGCCGTGGCTTTTATGTGCCGCATAGTTCAGCTGGCATATTTCTTGTGTGCGACACCGTTTACAAAACGAGCCGGCAACAACAACGTCATTGCGTGTTGCCAATTTGACAGTTACAACAACAACAACAGCAACTATTATAAGTGATTGTAACGATAACAATTCGTACAAAGTCAAAGACTAACAAGAGTCGCTGTCTTCACTTCAATTCACTTCAATGACTGCATCGCCTGCCCCTTGCCCCCCGCCCCCTGCCCCCTGCCCAAAGCAACAAAAGCCTTAACGATTGCCCAGTTTCACTTTGTATTCTCAACTCTCAATTTTGATTTCTTTTATTCATATACATCTACATATATATATGTGCATATATATATATATATATATATCTCAATTTGGAAACATGTAGTTTTATGCATTTCTTCAAGTTGATTTTTGTGTTTCTTTTGAGTTAGCAAAAGTTTTCTTTCATACACGTGCAGCTGCGACAGGTGAGGCGAGCTGCACTTCATCAGAGTTATTCAAAGTTTTGTCAGTTGTTCGGTTTATTGGCACACTCTATGGAAACTTTATTGATTTTGGCATTGCCATGCCCTGGCTCACAGGTATTTTGCATGCAAATATTCAATTGTAGATATAATAAATATTTCCATGTGAGTTGAGTTTCCTCATTTTATTTTCTTTGGCGTTTTACAGTTATGGCCATCAGCACAGTCCACTTTGCACAGTTTATTGCCAGCCAGTCAATTTGATCACTCCAAGTGGAATTTCATTAGGCAATGCAACTAATGAGAAACCATTTTCATTTGGGATCGTTTTCTTTGGAGCTGGAGCCCGTCAGCCTGGCTGGCCAGTGCCTTTGGCTAACCGCAGGCTCTATTCTGCATCGGAGCATTTAAAATTTATGTCAAATTAGCGAGCGCCTCAATGACAAATGCGAGTGCCATAGAA